CGTGATCGCTTGGTGACAAGCAGCTTTGGAAAAGCGGTCAGACTGTAAAATCTTTGGCTCTTTGTGCGATCAGATTAGGTGTCAACAGCATTCCTGTGGGCTGATGTGAATCTCGGGGAAAGCACCAGGGCAGGTTTTTATGAAAATCACAAAGGGGAGTTTAAAGAGGGAAAATCCTGGGTGAATCTTAGTGCCGGTGTGCTCAGAGTAGAGGTGTTGTTTTGAGGGACACTGCTGGGCTTTGCCCCTGTCGTGACAGTCCCGTTTCAAGCCACATAACCTGGGCTTTGCAGTAGGGATCCCTATTGCACACCAGGACAATGGCTCTACAGAAAAGGTGCGCTATGGTGAGCTATAACGATGTGCAGGGAGGAGGAAAAAAGAGTTTCAGACACAACATTGCCATTTCCGACTGCTCTTGGAGCCAGTTCGCCTCCTGGAATAGTACTTTCAAAAGCAAATGTATTTCCATTATTGGTGCATTCCCACTCGAGTGCTGAAGACATCTCAAGCCTGTCGCCGAGCCCCGTGGTAGGGGACGTGGCTTGTCAGAGGCACCCGCAGGGACAGATCCTCCTGCTACACCAGCGTGTGCCTTCAGGGGGATCCCGTAGTCAAGGAGGATGGAGCAAGCAAGGCCAGCCAAGCTCCACTACCCTATAACAGCATTTTAGACATTTACAGATTTCCTGTAACTACTTTTTCTTTTCTTTAGAGTTTGCATCATGTTGCAGAATCAGCAAGTTATACCACCTACCTTGTGGTTTGGCAGAGATGTTCCTAACCTGCTGAAGTCACCGTGCTGTATTTTACAGGTTTTTTGCCCTAACATTGTCATCCTGCTGTCATCCAGTCTTTATGTGGTATATGCACAGCAATTTTTTTTATTTTTTTTTTGTGCCAATATTTTAATTCATTCTGGAAGGGTAATTTTTGCTGCCTGTTCTGTCCTATCTCAAAGGTGGAGATGCTTCCTCCTAATCTGGATTTTGCTGACTGCTGCTTAGTGGCACTGAAAGACAAAATCTGTGCACAGTAACTTCTCTTAATCTTCCTTTATGTTGCTTCTTCTCTTTACCATGTACCCAATGGGAGTGGAATGACGTGGGGTGTAGTTAATTAGGATATAATGTTCTGTATACCTAAATACTTCAGCTTTAGGAGTACTTCCTGGCTTGCCTCTTGTAAGGCAGGAGGAGAGGTGGTTCTCCTGGGAGATGTATTCAGAGTATCAGCAGCAGCTGCAGGAAGGTGAGGCTGTTCGTGCCCTTGCAGTGTCACGGTTGCCCACAAAGATCGCGTCCAGAAGCCTGAAGCATGTATTAGCTTCTAACCTGCCTCTCACCATCTTATGGACAGAAAAGCCTCAAATGTTCATAGAAATTGGTCTCAAATCTTTGCATAGTTTTGTTTTAAAAGTTAGCTGTGAATCGAAGTGTGAATTAGAGTAACACAAAGGTTGCTGCTTCTAATTTCTTACTGCTACTGTCAGGATTAAGAATAGTTACTGCAGCCAGAGGCACCTCTTGAGACCTCAGCATTTCATTTCCTACCAAGAGGAAAGGAAAATCTTCCATAAGACTACTTCAGTGACTGTGCCAGTGCGATAGGATTGTCCTAATCTCATTGTGAAATCCTCGGTGGGAAATGGAAGCTCTTTTACACTTGGCTATTTCATTGAGGTCATTTTCATTAGTGCCTTCTTGTGATAACGATCCAAACGTGTATTTGCGTGGCACGTTTGAAAAGGATGCACGCTCTGAATAACTAATATACGAATATCCTATACGCAAATCAAAATCCTGAGATCTAACGTTTTTCTTTTTTAAAAAGGAAAATAATCAGATTCATTTCTGATATTCTGCTAACAAAAGGCTTTTATTTTCAATCACTTGTGAATTACTTGAAATTGTGTTTGTATTTCTTTGTGTGGGACTCTACCATCATTAGTGCAACTCAGAATGGGCTTTTGGCGTTGGGCGAGCGTCTGGAGCCCTTGAGCAGTGGCACAGAGAGCAGAGGGTGGTATCCCTTCGCTCAGGTGTATGTGTAGCTCCAATCTGTGGGTAGCACGTGTCTCTCATTTCTTCCTTTGCGTAGCACTATTTAGGGTAAAGGGAACATAGGTTCACAGTTCTGCCACTTTTTTTGAGCAAGCTCTGGGCTCGTGAGTGAGCCTGTGCATTAGCTGAGAAAAATCTGTACTTCTCAAGGGATGCTTGGTCAACAGTTTCCAAACAGGGTTGTTTAGCACTTTGAAAAACACAGGAGTAGAACTGACATAACTTTACTCTAACCATAGTTTAATATCGATTATGGCCTGCTCTGGGCTGAACTCTTAACCAGGAAGAAGACTTGGGGTAATGCTAAACTCAAGGCTTCCTCCGAAAGCCATTCCCTCAGCTGTAGGTTGCTGTGCAGTCAGGCTTCCCCTTAATCCCAAAGAGGGGAAATCCAAAAAAGCATAGAAAATATCCAGCCAGAACCTGAACTTGGAACAGCCAAATTCCACTGTCTTGCTGACAGTGAGAGGGAGTGAAACTTCATTTTTGTTAACAGATGTGACCAAGCCAAATGGAAGCTGGGTAAGCACAGATACACAGCGAACTCAAACTAGAAATCCAGATTAGCAGATCAGGTAAACGTTTGTGTGTTTGCATCTAGTCAGCCATGTAGCTTTCCTGGTATTCCCAGCTAAGCTCCTGGGATGAAATGCATTTATTTGTAGTCATCTTTGCAGTGTGCTGAAGGAAGATACCAGTAATGGCAATACTCTCTTACATTCTTTCCGTACATGTAGAATGAAGATTTCTTGAGTATTTTAACACAACTGAAGTCTGGAATTGAAGGCTTTCATCTCACTTATGAAATAGTGGTCGTGAAATTCAGATTCCAGCCAATGATCTTGTCATCTAGTCCAAGGGGTTTTTATTCATTGTTTTACTGTTTGCTTAAATACCTCCATCTGGACAGACAAAAGAAAGAATCTTTTTGTAACTTTTTGTCTTTAAAAAACAGCAATGACTCTTCCAGTTATTCAGGCTGTCCAAGCATTATTGGAAAAGGTCAGATATTAAAAAAATATTATTCATTAAATAACATAAATGTTGTTTATTTTCCAAAAAAAAAAGATGACAAAACACTCTTCAATATTGAGCGTGGAGCGTGTTGGCAGTCTTGTGAGCTGAGCCACCTGTGTGCCACTATATTAGGGAAGACTTAAAAATGAACTGGACAAAAGGATGAAAATATTCTTCCTACCTGGTGAGTGAGGCTATGCCATCTTCTTATTGCCCCATAGGATACATAATTACATATTCCTTGTCAGGTTATAATACTGCAGCAGAACTATTCTGTAGCTTGAGGGTACGTTTGTTCAGGAGAAAATAAATGCAGAATTTAGAAGGCTTCCCAGAGTTTTTGGTTGGTTGGAGAACAATGCAATTAGTTACATTGCAAAACAAATTCACCATACAGACAGGTAAAAGGCATGAAGGACCGAAGGAATCCGGTGTTCCAAACCATGTAGCTGTACTTTTGCAGAAGAGATTTGGTGTTAGGGGTTACCAAGGCTTAGGCAGCTGTGGAAACTCAGAAATGCAGGTGCTTGCGAGTGCTACCTGTGTGTTAGATGTAACCCTCTAAAGTGTCTAGCTCCCCAGGGTCATGGCACTGAAATGCCAGAGTAGAAAAAGCATTCAGCCAATGCTCTGAGGAGTAGGGGGTGATTTTGGGGTGGTCCTGTGCAGACCCAGGAGTTGACCCAATAATCCTTGTGGGTCCCTTCCAACTCAGGATTTTCTATGGTTCTATTTCAAATTTATTTTTGAATTTACTCTTCAAATCTCGTCATGGTTTTGGTTTAAAAGTTTATTATCAGGCATGTCTTTTTGGAAAATCCCTTGTTTCTAAACTGTAATTTACAATAGGGAGCCACCTAGGAATGGCAGGGGACTTTCAGTGGAGCTATCTATGAAAATGTCACAATGTCACCTTCCCATGCCCCAAAAGACAAGTCACCAAGTTACTTATTCTCCTGAAGAGAATCCTGCTGGAGATAGATTTGCCCGATTTCACAAAAACAATTATTTTAGGTGAAAGAGTTATCTCATGGATTCATTGCACTTCTTCCACATGAGTGGTATTTTCTGTAGGATATTTGAAAACTTATAGTCTGTGGAAAATGTCAAACGCATACTGTGAAGAATATAAAATACACTGCTCTCCAAACAGGAAAAAATGTAAAGCCAGATTCCTCAGCACAGCGGGATGGCCAGGGGAAGGGGGCTCCTCTAGATCTAATAAATACTTATTTTTCTATCATAATTTCCATAATATTCAAAAACATCATTAGTACAGGGGCTCTGACTCTCATTTGCAGGTTAATGTCATGCATCCTTGACTTTTGCTTCATTTCCACAAGTTTTTAGGAAGCTAGGGTTGATGAAGTTTCTTTTCCTGTTTTTTGGTTGGTTGCTTCCTTCTGTTTTAATAGGTAATAGCTTTTATAGACAAAAATTTGTTTTTTAATTTTTTCAGGAAGCTGGCTGCAAGCACCTGCATATCTTTATTCTTTATTCGTGTACCTCTGGAAACATTTATGGAAATTGCATTAAGTGAGGAGGGTCGAATCTTAATCTGGCTGTGGACAGAAGGTGAAATAAAAAGTCTGAGTGTGGTTTGGGTTCGAGAGGCAATACGGGGATGTAGGAGAGGTGTTGCTGCTGAGTGACAGCTGTCTGATTTGGCTTCCTGTTATCACCCTGTCAGATTTGCACAGATGGATGAGAGCTGCTCTAGACACGAAAACTTTATGCTTCGGCTTAAGGAAGGGACTAGAGGTCATTCTTGAATTATTTCCTTCAAGCTTAACTGTTCCTAGCTCAATTTTTCAGTTTCATGCCTGTTTCGACTTGTTTAGCACTCTTGAACAGGTGAAACACACAGAAAACAGTGCTCTGAAAGACAAGGTTTTAAACCCCTGCACTGCTTTCAAACAGCAGCTCTGCCTCCTGGAGTTTGCAGGAAACAACCCACAAGAGTTGCAGCCACAAGAAGCAAAGAAATAGCTGTCAAAATATAGAGGTAAGGGTTTTTTTTTTTTTTTTTCTGTCCGTGTAGGTAGTACTAAGCCTTGTCTAATAGGATTCTGTTGTTCTTCCTGCAGGGCAGGACAGTTCCCAGGCCTGGGCACCGGTGAGCTCTCCTGCCGCCTTCCCCTTTCGTGTCAGCTTCCCACCGCAATGCTGGCTGCCGACTGCTGAAACAGGCCACGAGGTCGTTGTTATTTTGCCTCCCTGCCTTGTTTCTCTTGCTCTACCATCTCCTGCCTGGCTACTAAGAAGGTTGTCCTTAGCGTGTTCCTAGCCAGGTTTTCCACTGCTTGTGAGAAGCAGAGCCAGCAGAAGTTCTCCCTCGTGCAGCCCACCCAAATGACCTAGTTAAAAATCTTCTTGCTTGTTTGCAAGCCTGCTGGCAAAGATGTCTGTGGGCACTTGTATAAGCAGAACCCACCGCTCCCCCTCAAACACGGCCCTGCCATCCAGGAACCAAAGCTGCCTGCAGCCAGCTTTGGCAGCTGACCCAAGAAACAGCGAAGGAGGAGTTCACAGCACTTCTTTCTCTTACTGCTTGCCCCGTCAGAAGAGAGCCTTGTTCTGCCTACAGAAGCCTTACAAAAATATAATTGTCTCCAACTGGTTAAATGAAACTTTAATGCTTCTTTTACATAGACCCTGTATGGGTTGGTGTCATTTCTAGAACAGTGCAGAAAATATGTAAGCCAAATATCTATGGGGACTCAGGTCCTTGTCTGCATGGGGTGGCATATTTGGGAATGAAGCTGGCTTTTGAGAGGCAGGTTCCTTGCTGCAGAAGCACTAACCACACTGGCTTGCCTTTGATGTGTGCGTTGCACAGTAGGGACAGTTTTGCCTCTGTGTGGAGGAGCAGAAAGAGCAAAGCGTGAAGCTTGTGTAGAGGGGTTCAGCTGGCTTGGGCTGATTCAGCCTCACCAGCCCCGGTGAGAGAAGTTCAAGTGCTCGGCAGGAGGTGTCCATCTGGTCTGTAGTTGCATATTCTACTTGGAAGAAGCTTTAGCTTCTCATTGTGAAGATGTAGCATACGGCACGGGTACACGAGCTCAGTCCCCAGGGATGCAGAGTGCCCTTTCTGCCATCGCAATGGAGATGTGACGGGCCTGACACAGGTGATTATAAACCTGTGGGATAAAAAAGCTCTGTGTGTGTGCTGGAGATGTTGGTGTTTGCTGTAAGCGTGTGGAGAAGGTGTTGCTAAATCTCTGACCGAGATCCACAGCAGTGCTGCCAGGGAACAACTGGCTTCTGGACCAGAATTTGGGTCCGTGGGAGCGGATCTGGGAAAGCCTCGTGAAGGCTGCATGGCCAAAAGCGAGTAATCACATTTTGTTCTAACTAAGCTCCTGCTGAATCACAGTCACAAGAAATTCGTGGAACCAATTTTTGGTTGTTTTTCAACTGAAGATCTGAGGTTTCATAGCATCTGATCCAAACAACAGTTACCAAAGGTTGTGTTCTACCTTCTGTAGATGTCATTTACTTTGAGCTCCACTGTAAAAAAAAAATAAATAAGAAAAAGATTGCTGTATGTGACTGTGGGGCAATAACAGTTGAACACAGGCTTAGGCAAGTGAGTTCATGTACAAGTGGGAGACATAAAGTGGACAGTGGACTTCTATTTTTGAATAAATGTAAGTAAATGAATCAATTAAGAAGTTTTTAGTGAGGATAAAGTAGTAAAAAGATAGGTCTGCCTTTTCTGGATACTTTTTCCCCTGGAACCTGAGAATTTCTGTGCAGGTTTGTTTTTTGGTTGCTTGGCTTTATTTGTTTTTGTTGCTTGGTGTTTGTTTAAGATAGTATTTTGATAGCAGATACAATTTTTGACAGAAGCGAAGAAACCTAAGATGATGATAAGCCTAAAGGCGACTATCATTTGGTGGCAACTAGAGCTTGTGTCTACATCAGAGCTGGCTGATAAGGAGAGTTGAGGCAGTTGTTTGGGGACAAGAATTTCTAAGATGCTCTTAGAAATTAAAAGATAAATCTGTGAGGATGCTTTGACATTTCCAGTTTTGATAACATACCCAGTTTTAATTTAAAAAAAAAAAAAAAAATCAGTACAAAAGAATAGATTAATAGATGAGAAAGCCACAAGTTATATATTAAAGTGAACAAATAAATGGTGAGACAAGTGGTCTGAGAATATTTCAGAGACAACACTGTGGTCTCAAAAGAGAATATTTTGGGCAACCGCCTTCTGTATCTCCCTAGAAAAACAGAGTGACCATAAAGGCAGTGCTCTGTCTGAAAGGGTGCCAGGTAAGAACTTTGTCTGAATATAATCATAATTAACTTTTTTTTTTTTAATTTTGATGTATTGAATCTTGGCAAGCAGCCTTGTGAAGACTCAAATGCACGACATCTGTCTGCAGGTACATGTATAAGATTCTGATGCTGCATCTCTGTGTTGTGATATGGCTTTAAACAAGTGCTTCTGCACTGGGAAAAGCCTATTTTTAATGCACTCTTGGAGTTATTCCAGTCTAGAAGGAAAATAATTATGATAAATTTATGCTGATGGCAGCTGGAGTAACGCTGCTCTTTAGTACCTCTGGCCATATGCTGCTTATTGCTGGAGTCCTGTGGGTTCTTCTGCACCTTTCTGGGTAATTGAAGAACCGAGTATGAAGACTCATACCCAGAAACTGATAACCTGATTCCCGAGAGATGATGTATCCGCAAGCCAGTAAGTACAGTCAGATTTTGTGATGCTGCCTTAAAGGCAGGCAGCCCTGTCGTACAGTGCTCTGTAATAAATGCTTTCACCGGCACAAATGGGGGATAAAAGGCAATGATTTCCTCTGAAGCATTACTATATTAAAATATCACAAATGGAAAAGACTCTCAAACCGCAAATGAATGAGAAGATTTACAGGATCCGAGTTGGCATAGTTCTAAATCTTCTGCCTTCCCAAGTAATCCATGCAGGAGCGTCATTTCACACGCTGTTCCCCCCAGCGACGTGCGAGCAACACGACCAAAGCCAGGCAGGGAGGCGAAACCTCAGCGTGGCGTGGTAGCTGTCACCCACGGCGGCACAGGAGGAGGTTTCTGTGCTGCTGGCCGAGCACCTAGGCTGCGCTGCCCCGCATGACGGTGGCGTTGTACAGTAGGCAGCTGACCTCAGCCCGCAGGCATCTGCGTGACGTGGGACCACCTGGCGCCGCGCTGCAACCTGATGCGATAATGTGTGACAGCCAGGTGTTCGGTTCTGCTGGTTCATATGTCAGCCCCGCCGAACTGGACGAATAACGACATGAAAAATGGTGACGAATGTGCTGGCAGGAGAGAGGATCAGCCGTTTGGGATCAGAACAAGCCTCTCCTGCAGACGTGCCCGTGCTGCAGTGCACAGAAAGCCTTTGCTCTGTGCTCTCGCTTGGGGTGTTTGGGAAGGAGCGTTATTTCAGACTGCTCCCTAACATTTGCAGCACTATCTCCCCCGTGTTACTGTTCAGCTGGCAAGGTAATCACTTGTCTCTATTGGTAAAAACTGATGAGGAACATACTAAGAATAAGAACACCAGGCAGTATCTCTGCAGGAAAAGCCCCAATGTTCTTCCCTTCAATCTATTAGCTAGGTCCTGACTAACCATCTGTTGGATTGCGATGTGTTCAGATCACTGATGCAACTGATTGAGTTAAATTTACTTTAAAAACACCTTTTAGTCTTGGCAAAGAACAAACCTTTTCCAGAACTTTGAATTTAAGCATTTCTATGGTAGAGGAACTCAAAGTTTTGCAAATGCCTCTTTGTACCGTGCTGTATTGGGGAAGATAAAATCTCTTCCGATCAAATCATCCAATTCTTTTAAATTGCGATGGTTGTATTGAAATATGTAGAAGCAGACCTTCCTTTGCATGTGACTGGTTTGCAATGAGCACATTACGCTTTGTGATTTCGGTGTCTTGTTCTGTTTGTGTTGCTGTTGTCTCCCAAGCTGCTTCCTCCAAGTTTTGTGGGAGCTGTCTACCAAGCAATGCCTCCGTAATGCTTTCCAGGATGTTCTTCCCATGCAGTTGCATATCTTTATGGGCTTTTGTTAGTTTTATTGCTGAAATATGGAACGTTGATTGCATTTCCTGACAAAAATAAGTATTATTATTGTTCTTTGTCGTCTAACCAGGTCTCACAAAGATCATAAGACATAGGTCAGGAGTAACAGGAAAGACAGCGATGAGCCCGGGCTCATCCTTCTTTGCCTTTCCACCGCTTGGATTCATTCAAGCTGAACCCTTTCAGTGCTCAAAGAGGGATTGCCTTACTTTTAAGGACTCCAGGCAGTATGATAAATATAACTGAAAAGCAACAGGTTTGAAATTAAATCTGGCCATTGACTTCTAGTGAAAGGCGTTTCTATGGGGATGCAAGATAATGCCGTTTGGATACATAATTGGATTGTGAGAGAGCAGCAATAGATAGCTTTTAGGTTAAGGACTGATGCGTCACAGGTTGACTCATGGGCACTAATCTATTTTATTGTCTCTGGAAGCTGTACAAATATGAAACCATGCATAATGTGAATTAGGGCCACTTCTGAAGAAAATCACATCTTTCCTGCAGCCTCTGAATGAGCTTCAGCAGTCAAGGCTGGTGAATGACAGACAAATTTACATCCAAAGTGCTGCAAAGCTCATTGCCAATCTTCTCACCCTATCTACAGAGGGGTTCAAGGCTTGTTGTCTACATTTCTGGAGTACCAAAACATTAGAATATGTTATAATATTTCTTCGTACCTCCATTTCACCCTGTCCAGCCATCACAGAGAATGATTCAGCTGAATCTATCAATGCAAGCAGTAATTATTTGCAGTAGCTTCTATTTGCGCTTCCCCTCTTCTTTTTTTCCACCAGATTGCTCCAGCAATCTATGTTGGCACCATCATTTATTTGGTGATTATTTAGAACAGCCAAGCATGAACAGAGCTGTACTTCGTGTTATGCAGATCCAGAAGCTGGCCTGTAGCCCTAACTTCTTCCTTTGGATCTTGTCAGGGCTTTTGTAAGCTAAACAGGTGGGAGAATGGGAGCGTTAGTGCTTCCAGAGCTTGTTAACGTTTTATTGTATTGATTCAAAACCGGCAACACACGCATTTCGGGGGAGAGTTACGGTCTTACTGTTTGCTGGGGAAGACTGCATGGAAAAGCAGATGCAGCGCCCTGAGTGATTTACTGAGCAGCTCTTCTCCATGGGGCTTATTAAATCAACGTATAGCTGGGATGCTGAGAATTACTGTTGCTGCAAGGGCAATTCTTGGGATGAAGCTAAAGTGCCGGATAACTCGGATCATTAAAACAGATAATTAAGGTTCATAGTGACATTTTTTGCTGAATTACATAGGCATAGTGCTTTTTGAAATAAATTTGTTGTGTAGTTTCTAGTTAGTCTTTCTCTACCTCCTCTTCCCTAACTTTTTTTATTTTTATTCACAAAAGCTTTAAATGGAGTTGGGATCATTTGGATATGATATTTGCCTAGTTCTACCCTTAATAAGCACCCTGCTTTGTTTTGCTGGGTCTTTAACAAAATGTGACTGCCTGGACTGAACTGTCCAAGCCTAGTTTCAGGCTGATTTCTTTCTTTTTCCTTTCCTTTTTTTTTCCTTGTTTTTTTTTTTTAAAGACATTTAGCCAAAAGAGCTCATTCATGTCCAAGAATGAGTCAATTCGATAACCTCCCTGATTTAAAATTTAAAAAATAAAAAATAAATGACCAACAACCACAGAAAACAAACCTAGATTCTATAAAATTGGGGAAAAAAAAAAAAAAGATACCTGAAACTATGACTGTGCTTGGCCTTTAGCTCTCCCTTTGAGGCCTGCTGGCGTTTAGCAAAACCATACATCTGTGAAAAATGTCATCTGCCCTACACCTGGTGGTGCTGACCTGTGTCAGCTGTTGGACTCCCCGGGGGCCGCACGTGAGCGCTGAGAGCTCTGCCCCCACCGTGGGGCAGGAGCAGGAGGGTGGTGCTGCGGCAGGGCTGGGGTGCAGGAAGCACCCACAGGAGCTGCCCAAACCTCTGGGACCCCAGCCTTGGAAATACAAGGAGTAAGAACCGAGTGAATCGTTGTCCTCTCAACTTTGATTATCGATAAACATGTTAATGCTGAATCTTTCAGGAGCTAAAACCAGCAAGTTAAAAGTCGGATGGGTAGCTGCTTGCACAGGAGGTCAGTGTTAAAGACGTGGCAAGCATGGACCACTCTGTGATAATTCCAAGTTTGGGAAAATATGAAAATTTCCATGGAACAACATTTATCTGAAGCGTTTATCTGAGGAGCAATGCAGTTTGGAGTGGATGCATATAGGACTTCAAGCTATTTCTTTTCTCGTTTTTGGTTAATTTTTCTTTTTCCTGATACCTGCAGAAAGGCTTCCACCATCCGTGCTACACATTTATACCGAGCACAGCCAAAGATGCTTCTTATCTGGGGTAACTGCATTTGTATTAGCTCTAGTTTGGCTCTCCTGAGCAGGAGTAAGCACTCCTGTGTCCTGTCAGCACTGCAGTGCAGACCAGCACTGTGTTTGCCTTGCCATCAGCCCCAAAACCCACCCTACGGCATTTCTCTGCTTACTGCTAGGTGGACAACCTCAGTTAATGCCAGCGAGGGTCTAACCACATGGGACGCCATGGAAAACTAGATTGAAGCCTCTGAACAGAGCCTCTTTACAAGGCTTTTGGTATACCTTACGGCCCAGATCCTGCAAAAGCACGCTGCTGCTATTCCCACCCTGTTCACTTGAACTCTCTGGTGCCAGAATGTCATGAGTTAAAAGTCAAAGGGTCAAATGTTGGCCTCCCTTAAAGGTGTTTGAACTGCGGCAGACCCAGGGTTTCTCCCTTAATTCTGTAACCATGGCTTTCAGAGAAGAAGGAATTGGGTTGTGCTTTTATTTCTCGTGGCTTCACCAAGACTCCGTATTTTAAGATTCCACACGTTTTTAAAAAATATTTTCTCTGAGTGTGTTTTATGGGAAACTAAATTGAAGGTGTATTTAAGGGCCCCAGAGATCTGCTATGATGATATATATCAGGAGAAGCTGAACATCTGCTTGATGCTTGGGCACAGCTTTAGCAGAACTAACAGTTCGAAAGCAATTCTTGTTTTTTAATGTAACAATCGGATAATTTGAAGTTTGAGCTATGAGGTCTGAAACCTAAAAAACAAAGGCAGAAAACTTGATATGAAATATTTACCACCTAGACAGAAATCTATAAAAGGGGAAGGGGGGGGAAGTGAATCAATGGTTGCAATCCTGTGGTGGTTTTACACAAAGGAAAATTCAAAACTGAATTTCTGCAAAGAAACAAAAGTATTCACCGTACTAACATAAAGATGTTCGAACAGCGATTGTGTTGTCTTTACAAATGCCTCTTTTATCTGTTGTACTTCCCATGTGAAATGAAATGTACTTTATAGTAAATAGTTTTTTTTTTTTAATTTCAATTAACATTTTTTGATCAGGAAAATATACAAAATTTGTGTGGAAAACTGTTTACTCTGTTTACTTGAAGGTGATATTTTGCTGCAAAATTTTAAATATAATAAGATGCATTTAATAGCACTCTTTTGTGGTGCCATTCCTTATGGACATAACATTCAAAGTATGGAAAATCAGTTGTGGACCAAACTGACCATAAAAACAGTAATCCAAAGAAACCTTATAAACATGTCAACACCCATCATTTATCCACAGATGGCTCATACCAATGTAAAAAACATATAAAATGTAGTATAATTCCCAACACATGGCTTGCTTTGTTGCATTGTTCCTACGTATTATTAGTGTTAAAAACCAGGAAATTATATTAGGAAGAGAATATTGGTTTTTGTTTATTAAACTAAAGTACAGGTTAACATCATTCTTTTCTTGTGATGAACATATACCAACAGTGATTAAAAAATAAACATTTATTTACAAAATATTGATGCATACATATTACACAAGTCAGTTATATCAAAGTGGTTTTTTTTAACAATATCTGTAGCAACCAACTATTTGCATTGGTTTATCATAGTGCAAACGGTAATGTTGCAAAGGCAGATTATGCTGTGGGATTATGGTTTGAAAGTTAGACTTCTCTGCTGCCTTTTGTTTTACTACGTCTAGAAAACTATTCACCTTCATTTAAAAAATAGCTATTTCTTGCGAATGTTGAATAGTGTACCTGAGGATAGGGCAAATTCGTTATTACTCTAAATTCTTTCACTTAGATAACTATCTTTCTATTTACTCAGCCTGCTTACGTAGCACCATTGCCATTGATTACTATCATACTAATGAAAAAAAAGGAATGGAAACACGCTAAATACACTATACCATCCCTAATTTCAGGATTTGTCCATTTACGTGGAATTTCATCTGTTGCATTTCACAATTCTGCACTATATATTCAAGTGTTTAAGGATGATTCTGGTGGTACTGTGGAGTGGTGTATATGTTACCGGTATATATGTTTCTGTAAATGCAATAGCGAGTGAAGCTGTGAAGAAATGGATTTAAAAGCCTGCTCCTTCTGGTTGCAGATGAGGAGGAGCTGGCTTCTGATTACAAACATATGTTGAAACCTGCGTATGGATTTGTGTCTGAATGACTGAATATTGATTCCCTCAAAATGTAAGAAACTCATTGGTTGAATCCGGTGATTTTGATGGTAGGTTTTCTTTTCCCACTGGTTGACAACCAGTCATTAGGCAACTCTAGTGTCTTTTAGTTCGCGTTCTGCAGCTTGTGTTGCTCTAAATCTGGCCCGCATGGTAGGCTAGCATACAGCATATGATGTCGGCAATGCCTAGCGCACGTAACTTCACAGTTTCAAAGGTGGGTGAGGGGATATAACTTTTTTTTGGTAGCTTCCACAATTTCTGAAGCGGTGGATCTCACGACGGTCTCATGAGCAGCCGCAACGATCTACAACCATGGCTGGTATCTTTCCGTATATTATTTGTTCTTTTCCATTGAAATACAACATATTTATGGGGGACATCTTGGTGGGCGTGCAGCAGGGGCCTGCCGAGCCTCTAGGATTCGCTTGGTGTACAAGATGAGTGTGCGGGTATTTCTGTAGAAATACAAATTCGCATTCTCCAGAGCAGTAATTGGCTTTGTATCTTTTAGGGGCGATAATCCAGTCCCATCCAAAAGCTTCAAAATCCACGGTCAGTGGGTAGCGACAACATCGGGATTCTGTCGAGTGCTCATCGCAGTCAAGGCCAAAATCTCTGCGGGATCGTTTCGGTGTGTCTGTAACTCTGACCTCTAAAAATGGATTCTGTGAGAAGAGGAAAAGGAACCGGAAGCATTAATGAGGTAGGTACAGGTAATTGGAGTCAAAACATACACACAGTTCTCTCTGACACAAACCTATCAAATCAGTATTCTCAAATCACATTTACAAACATATTTGAAGTTCTGCCCTTCAGAGAACTTTATCCTCCTACAAGTCTCTGATAAATTTGATCCCTTCTCAAGGGTTATTCCTCTTCTTTCTGCTGAGGACATGCATTTCCCTGCTGCTTCTCTACAAAGAGCTTTAATTTCTGAGTGTTTCTTCCTGAAATCACCATCATCTTTGTGCTAGCATCATTTCTTATTAACTGCTAAGAGAAAGTTGCAGAAATTTTGAGGGTGCTGGGTTTATAGTTTAGCTGTTGTTTTCCTTAACGCTGTAACAAGAGTTGCTTTTTTTTTTTTTTTTTCCTTTTCTATAGAAGAATTCCCAAAAGGAAAATAAATAAATAATATTTACAGGGCAGAATCCAAGCAGTATTGGTCTCCTTTTTGTGAATCCTTCTGAAATTCTCTCCATTCAAATGGTATTCAGTTCAGGTTTTCTGGATATCAACAAAGACTCCTCCTCCAGACCAAGGAGGACAGGAGATGTCTCCATAATTGCTGTCTTGCTGGAATGATTGAAGTGGTGGTAGAAATGAATGTTTCACCTGCTAGTACAGGTTAGTTCTACTTCACAGCTTTTACTCAGCCAGAGGGCTGGATTTGAGTCCTGAATTTGGAGGGGCAGCTAATATTTTGACTCCTGAGAGAGCCTTGTGGCCAGGAATGTACTTTTGGCAGGTCTCTGAGCCACGTGCTTCCTACTGAAGGTGTCTTTGCGCAGTCCTTAACTGAGAATAGAAAGAAATTGCAAGCTTTGCAATCACGAGTTTGAAATAGTTCCCCTGCTCCACGTTGATTTCAGCACAGTGTTGTCCAGCTGCTGGAGAAGCTCCTCCCAAAGGTAAATGATATGAGGAGGGGCTTGGTGGAGAGCAGCATCCCAGTACAGAGAGCTGCCAGAGAGGAGGTGAAGGAAAGAGAAGACAAGTTTCCTCTCCCATTACCTGCAGTGCATCTGACCCCAGGTTGCTTTTACAGCAGTTCAGTTTTTACAGCTGATGATAACCCTGAGAAAACCAAGGGTTATCCACACGTGTGAAAACACCTTGTTACATATTTGAATGGGTGGAGACATTCTTTATCATGATATCCAGCAAGCAGATGAGAGCCACATCTGTAATGAATCTGTGATTGGGATACCACATTGTTTTTACTCTAGGTTCTGTTAACTGCATTGCACTGCTATGAAGTTAAACATTACATAGCTACCTAAACAGACTGATCTTCTCTGTAGCAGTGAAAGCAAAATAATGCTCCTGGTACTTTACTCAAAAGCAGAAACGTTTTGGTTGTGATTGTTTTAGCTATTGCAATAGGTTCAGGAATTTTGTCAGGTTGTAGATGATGAGTGATTTGGGGAAACAGCAAGGAAAATGCTGTAGTTTAGCTGGTACACTTCAGATTTAATTCATTCATCCATACTTACAGAGAGAAACTATATAGTTATTTAATGCTCTTTCCCATCATTGTGACCCATTTATTGTATCAAGTAGAATTTATCTATTCAAACATTTCTAATAAGAGGAATGATGCATTCTATCATATGTACAACATTTAAAATTATGACATCTGTTGTCACCTTCATAAATACAGATAATTCATCTTGGCATTAAAAGAAAATACATGCATACAGAATAGGGAGAAACAGGGTTTGAATGCAAAATCTTTTCAGCAGTATCTGAGGCAAAATTCCCATCAATGAAATAATCAAATGACTCTTTCTTTTACCTTTATGCAAAGTCACTTCTCATTAAGCAGTGTTTGCTCTCAAATTTGAACACAGTGTTACTATGATAGTACCATCCATTGGTACGTACCAAAACATTTTCCAGTTGATGCCTCTCAACATCTCCCTGAGGTAATGCAATTCACCTCAATTTTTCAAATAGGGAAATGGAGGCACAGGAGTGCTACGTGATTTTTGCCATGATCAGAGAGCAAAGAGCGAAAGAATTGGGCATACAGAGCCTTTTTCTTCCATTCCCTAAACAACGGTTCCATTTTATCCTTAAAACACAAGTTAAATGCTTTCCAATAAAATGCAAGATATTTAAACGGGATTTTTCTAAATAAACTTACCAATCCATCTTCACCTGGTCCTGGGAAAGTTACAGCAAGATCTCGTCCATTCTCATCAAAAGCTTTTATTTCGATGCCTAAATTGGATTCAGGCTGTTTGAGCCAATTTTGCAACACTGTCTTCACATCAATACTCTGCCAAATACCAGTGCCTGGGTTCATGTCAAGTTTCAAAGATCGAATTCCAGTATATCTTGTACCGTCTTTCATGGGCTTAATAAGTCTCAGGATCTGCACAAACACTGTTGTAGGTTTTTGGACTTGCCTCAAGTATATCCACAATTGTGCCTTTACTACTTTGTTATATTGTATTTTAGAGCTAAACTTAAAGAAGCAACATTTTGGTTTTCCCTCCATTTGTACAAGAAAATCAGCTATAAATGAATGGAAAGAATAGATTACTGAACAGGGAACAAAAAGAAATATGCATATATAAACCCAATTTTTTTTTCCAGACCATGTAGGATGTCTTACAATATTCTACAAACAGCATCAGTAACAAGTGGATGTAACATCATTCATTTTCTGTGCTTTACGCTCTACGGCAAATTTAATCATTTTGCTGTCACCTAAAAGTAGCATCATGTGACAAGGAAACACCGACTGTTTTGTAAATAGGCTAAAAGGAGATTTGGCTAACCCTTTTCTGTGTAACTCTAGCTGGTCCCTTGCACTCTGTAGACTAAGCAGAGTGAAGGATGTGCACAGGCTGAAGTTCAGGAGTGATGGGCAACTGTGAGAAGAAGGGCGCTGTAGAGAAACTCTGTGGTCCTCTGTTATCTCTAGGATCTGACCAGTTGTACCAGCACCGTGGGCTCACCCCTACAGCTGCAGAAAAGCTCCTTTCCCAGATAAAAGTGAGCAGGGGATAGGGCACAGCCTATGCCACTTCACAGGGACTGCTACCAGCTCATTTCTGCTGTTCATCTCCTGAGGAGCTCCATAAAACATGCACAATAGCAACTTTGCATCAGCTGAGTCAACACTTACGTCACCTTTAGGTATTTTTAATTTACTAGATAACCTTAGTGTGCATCATACAAACAGAAGTAGCTGTGCACAAACTACCTGAAAGCTTCCTTTTCTTTTGCTGAGTGGAAACAATAATAATTTAAAGTATGAATGTAAAGATTTGTTTCCATTTGAACAATATTATAGGAAAGTCACATGCAGTGCAGCATTCCTCCTTCCTGTAGCCTACGATGCAGCTGTTCTACCTAGTCATGACAGTGTCTTGCCATGCCAGCATAAAATGGGTAAAATGAATTTTAAATGGTGCAGGGTTTTGACACTCATAAATCTCATCACTTAAGACACCTGTATCTTTAGTGGATTTTAAATAGTTCAAAGGCTTTTATAAAAAGTAGGAAATTAACTCAGATCAGTGAAGCATAATGACTTTTCTTCAGTCATTGTAATTACGTAGTGGTTTAATTAAAATAGTTCCCAAATATATAGCAGGCTAGAATAAAACTGCTGGCAGACCTCAATTTTGCATTAAGGCTGCACTAATATGTTGCTATTACGTACACATATTATTAAAGTTAAAAAATGTTACAGATAAAGTTAATTTTTCACCCATGTGTGCATTTTTAGCTGGCTACAGCAGCTGATTTTATTCTAGTATGTGTATTGTAATGATATCTGTAACTGCTAACATGCCTAATATGTCCTGTCATCTTTTTCCTTTTTGACATCATATTCATAAGTGTTATTTTAAAAAACAGCTGCCATAGCCAAATACTTTAGCTGATGAAGAACATAAGATACTATAGTATTAGCTGTGCAAAAGATACTTGATAGGAGCCGTAGCAGATGTTTAGCACTCAGAAGATAACTTAGAATCTGCTCATTCAGTAAATGCCTTCATTCTTCCTTGGCACGACTACTGGAGCTGATTGCTATAACGTGGACATTTTAACATTTAAATCGGTTACACACATATTTGCTTTAAATATATAGTTTTAACTCGGAGGTGGGTGGTGCTAGCTTATGGGATCAGCAAAGAAGCAAGAATTTAACTCTATACTTGCACTTGTGGGTCTCGTTCTCTAAGCTGTATTTCTGCTCATTTCTGTTGCTCTTTAAAGCACTGGCTGGTGAAAGCTCACGCAGAAAAATATAGCTATCTTGTTACCTGCACTTGCACTTTCTGTTTGCAATAGGAAATGCCCTGAATGCTGCAAATAACGGAGCCAACTGAACTGCAGATCTCTCCTTGCTTTCTAAGGCAATTGGCAAATTGTAAGTGCTACAGGGCACACACGTTATAAGGAGCCGAATAAATGAACAGTAAAACAAAGGCTCGCAACAAGGTCATTTGAACCTGACTCAAATCCTTTAGAAATACACTCTCCTCCCTCCCTCCGGCAGACTCCAGCCAGCAGCCTGTTGGGAGAGCCTGAGCAGGAGTTGTGTGGCTCTACAGCACGGAGACAACTCTCTCGGAGGAGCGGTGCGAGACTGAAAGCAGCAGGGTTACTTACACTCTGTAGGCATTGTGATAATCGTTTCAGTTGTGGCATGATAGTCATCGTCTTCCAAAGAGCCATCGCTACTGTCGTCTCTCTGGACGTCATATTGATCAATCAGTTCCTGTAGTGGAGGAGCTTTGGGTAAAAGTTGCTTAATAACATCCCTGCTAATGTTAGGAGCTTGTTCCAGGCGCAGTTTGCTGAGGATTTGAATTTTTATGGCTTCTATTCTGGAAGATTTTGTATTCTGTCTCCACGTACAAGCATTGCACAGTCCATCTTTTTCAGCGTTCTCTGTGGGCTGACTGCCGTCATCAAGAGCCACCGGATCAACTGAAATCAGCATGAACAGGTAAATATAAACATAGATTGCTAGCTTTTGCATGATCTCACATTCAGTGCAGCTTTTTTCCCTTTTTTTTTTCCCTTCCCCTTTCCCTTTTTCTTTTAGTACTAAACAGATCCGTGAAAGCAAATGCAATCTGAGAGACAGCTTGCCACACTGGTGTACCTTATATATTCCAAGGGGGCTTTTATACTCCAACTTTGATTAGGCTCATGTCGTCAAAACCAACGATTGGTTGTTGTCCCAACAATGAATCTAGCTGTCAGAGGCTTAAAGCCCTGTCGATCACAAGTCACTAGACAGCATTTAGTTACAGCCAAGGGTGAACTGATTTATCTGGTGGCTTCATAGAGGATATGTCTTCACATACGGAAAGGATATATTTCCAAGTACTATGGGCAGCAGAACTGGAAGACAGCACTATCATTCTTAAATATATACAAGACCGTATGCTTGCAGTATGAATCAAGGCAGAGCTCTCTCTAAAGTTGCTTTAAGCTTCTATCATTATTTTGACTCGCACTATTTAAAAGAAAATCTCGAGGAACTGCTGTTAGGCAGGAAAAAATATTTGTAAATACATTGCAAACATTACAAATCTATGTTGTTCAACAGCTAAAATATATTAAGCAGTCGATATTTCAGAAAACTTTAATAGGTTTTCCTGAAAGGTACTAGCTAAGCAGTAATACAGATTTTGAGCATATATGACTGTAAGTAAGTGCATATTTGTCTGTTTGTCCCATTAGTATATATCAAAATCCTTTACTGAAGTGTGTGAACACTTATTATGTAAAATGAGTTTGCCTGGTCAGCAAAATCCTGGGCAGTAAATTACATATTGAGAGACCTAAACATTTAAATCCCTACTGGGAGTATATCTTCTTTTTCCATATCCTCTTTTAATTCAGTTCAAAATATCTCTATATTTTGCCAACTTAAGTGATACTGTGCTTTCTTTTGCTTTCTGCTCAAACAGTTGTAAGTTCTCTATATCCTGCTTATATATTTAAAATTAGTTTCAATATGCTTTCTGCACGAGATACATCTAGACATTATTATATACTTACAGGTAATGGCTTATAAAAGCTTATAGCTATACAGTTTGCATTTGACATGCTGCTAGCAGAATCTCCGGGATTTATACTTATTTGGGGAGGTGGGGGTTACAGCTCAGCACAGTCTGTATGTTAAAGCAAACACAAATCCTGGCATGCCATGCAATATGCCAGGGTTTGCCTATCTGAGTTAGGATTGAATTGTCAGCTTCTCACTGATTTTCTCTTCTTTTTCCATTATGAGTACACCATAAAATGTGGCAGTCAGGTTTTTATTTATTTATTTTCACGTGTTCCTGTAGGAAACATTTTGGTGCATGGAAAGATATGGGACAAAACATTCCAAGCTTTTTCCTGCCTGGTCATTCCTGTTATCTTGTATCACCTTTGCAGGGCATGCAAATAGAGTACATTGCTCTAATACTCAGCTCATGACCAGTGACGTAAGCCGTGAGTATTCAATTGAAATTGATTGTCCTATTCTGGTGTAAAAGTGATGCAAGCAATAAATGCAGCGTGCTCACACGTTCCAGGCCTATGGCTTTAGGGTCTAACCCTGATATTCTCATTCCAACCAAACTCATATGTAAAGCAAACATTTTGACTACTTACTTGTATATCCTGAGCATTTGTTTTCACACAAGATACTCGTGCAACTGCTTTCAACATATGGTAACGTAAGTGGGCTCATGGTTCACTGGAACTAGAAGTCAGGGCAGAGCTGAGTTTGCACCAGAGACTTGCTGCCATGTCCACAATGTATTATTTTAAACAAACTCTTTGTATTCTTGTAATTTAAAGAGGACTAATACATTACAAGTACTGGAAATGTATCTTTTTGGATGGTTCATAGGATGATTCCTATTTACAGTCTTGAAAAGCATTATCCAGGTGGAAAGCTCGATATGTACCAGATTTCATACTATACACAGTTCTAAAGAGAATTATGACCGTCAGGAAACAGGTAGAAATAATGATGCAGTCTTTAATTACCAGCTATTATTAAATGCTCAGGCAGACTGTGGCTGGAAGCCACCCACTGTGCTGAAGAGGGGACAAGCGAAGTGGCTGGTGAAGTGCCTCCAGCACCATAACTCCTCTGCATGCTCTCTGCAGCAGCTCGCCTGGTGTGGTACCTGGCCTGCTGCTTCTCCTTCAAGGTCTTCCCACTCTGACTGTGGCTTGCCATGAAAGAATTTCAGATATTTTTTCAAAAAAATCTTCTGCTATGATTGTGTTAACCTGCAATCAGATCAGTGGAGACAGAGGGAACACCTACCAAAGACAAAAAAAAGGTGCCTCAGAACTCACTAGCAGCTGCACAACCAAAAGAAATATTTTTCCAGTACTACCCTCATAAAATGTGCTTCATATCAATGTACTCTGAATGCCTCCAGGTTGTTAGAATAGCTTTCTCTTCATCTTTTGTTGTTGCTTATTCTTTTCTATGCGAATGCAAGAATTTTGAAGAGAGCTTGAACTGTTGCATTTGGTCAGGAGCTATTGAAGAAATTAATTGCTTTAATAGTGCAATATGCAAATTGGTTTTCTTTCTGACTTTCCTTGTGGTGTTTTAGGAAAATGATGACTGCAGAAGCAGGTGACAGAGGTGAGGAAAGTAAGCAAAAGGTGAAAAGTAAGTAACCAGATAAAAGTTTTTTAAAAAAATATTTTGCAAAAAATAATTTAAAAGATAACGGGCACATTGACATCAGCAAAAACAAAGAAGAGTTAAAAATGAAATGCACTTCTTACTGAACGCTATGGCATTTTAATATTATCTTTGGGATTTGTGTCATTCTACCCGCCGTGCCTGCCAATAGCGAACAGTATTCCCAGTCCTGACTATTCAAAGAGCATGACTCAGGCCCCCAAAATCAGGCAATATAAGAACGCGTTTCTTTCAAAAGAAAAAGAGGCACACCTCTGTCTACCTGTTAGCTTCTCCTTGGCTTTCTCCCTCCCACCAGCAACAGTTTGGACTTGCTGGAAAGCCTAAAGAAAATCTAAAACATAATCAAACCCAAATTTGACCGCTACAGAGGTTTCAAAGACACTGTGTTACTGTGAGTTTTATGGAAAAACAGCAACTGTGCAAAGGAGATTACTAATGCCCTCCCTAAGGGAAAGGCAAGCAGAGCCCAACCATTACCCATCCTTTTTGGCAGCCTTTAATTAGCCAATCAGCATGTGCTTATTAGTCATTAGTCAGCATGCTGATAGCTCTGGACCATCTACAGTGTGTCAGCTCTTGCCTGGCCAGCAACCCAGAAAAAAATAGATAGGAAGTGGGATGGGATTTGAGCTTGTTTTGGGGGTGGACTAACTGGATATGGAAGGGAACCAGGACATTTCTGAGAAAAAGGAGAGTTACAGGAGTGTGAAGGAGCTGCGCTCATGGCAAGGAAGGAGAGGGACATAAGTTATAACCACGCCAGAAATCCGGCATCTTCATCCTGTTGTAGGCTAGCTTCTCAAACATTCCCTTACAGTCTGGAGGACCAGAAATTCTCTGCTCTTTTTGCTGTTGGTTAAGTTGAACTGGTTCCCATAACGGACTCACTGCAGGAGGTAGTACCTGAAGAAAAGATCAGGTGTTGTGAAAGTCACCGTAAATTAGTGCAGACACTGGTTTTTATGTCCTACTTTAGAAGCAGTCATCTTCCTTTCCTAATCTGAAACAAGTGTTATAAGAAAGCTCCTGAGCATCTGGGTAAGATACCCATTCAGTCACCCCATCTCACTTTTGTCAGCACAAAACCAAATTTCTAGAATAGAATACTGAAAGAAATAGAAAAATCCATTTTAAATATTTTGGACTAGATTCACTCCTCGCTTATTTGCAATGAGCTGGGCATAATACTTAGGAACTAATTTTGGTTAGAACAGTTACATCTAAATAGAAAAATTTAGACATATAATGAAATGCAATGTAGTTACCATGTTTTAAGTGCTTAATTATGAGCCCAGCTGTCTTGTCTTGCCAGGTGCTTGCTCTCAGGCCAACTGAATTGCAAGAATAAAATGTATTAGTTTGAATCTCAGGAGTATGTCTGTGGAACACCTAGCAGGAACTATCACATCACAAAAAAATTATGAAAACATCATGGCAATTGCAGTATGTAAATTAAAGCTGCAGCTACTACAAGGCAATAGTACCTGCAGTTCTTACTGAACTTATTACCAAGTATGAAATCTGTAACTAGTATGAATTCTTGTGCTGTAACAAATGTTCTCCAATAGTTTGTTCTTCTCTATATTTTTTCCTACAAGAGTGGTCATGTATAACTGTCTAAACATAGTGCTCTATCACCTACTGGAAGGCAATTTTATTTCTTCTGGGTTATTTTCCCAGGAAAACCAAGATGTTCGTGGATTTGGGATGTTAAGGAGTCTCCCCTCAACATGCACTTGGGCTGTGCCTGCAGTTTGAGTACCAGGGCAAACCTGGCAGGTGATTGCCTCACCTCAGGAGCAGTGGGAGACAGTGGTGAGTCCTACTTGCTTGGGACTTTCCCACCAGCTATGGTGTGTAAGTATGCAAAGGATAAAATGGGAGAAACAGGTAAAACAGGTGGCAAACTGGGTACTGTGGCAATTTCAGCCTTGGATGCATCTCTCGGCTTGCCCAAGAGATGCTGGGGTCGTGGGGTCTCCTTCAGCTTGTGGCTGACAGCTTGCACTTCCCAGCCCCTTCCTGACCGCAGCTTTTGTGCTGCTGAGGCACAATTTTACATGTGTACTGGGCCAAAAGATCCCCGTGGTGTTTTTCTCTCCCGCATATTCCAGTGCTCATTAATTGTCATTGCTCCAGAACCGACCAGATATACTAATGGAAAAGCACTTTACAAGCAGATAGGGAAAATTATTCCTGTTAGGCTTATTAAAAACATTTAAGGGAGGATACAATTTTAGTAAATGATGCCAGCTTTTCTGAGCTCTTTTGTATTCAGGATTTTGTTCTGCAGCTTTCACTATGACATCTAATTACCGATCTTATAAGAAGTCGTATAATAGGACCCTGTTAAACACCTGTTTAATTCTAAAGGCTCTGTCCTTGTTACAGAATGCTGTCTTTTCTTTAGTCTTGTATCTTTTATGCTTCTGCCCAGAATTCCTGCATTCTTCTTCAATGTCTGTTAGAATAGCTGAAGAAAAACAGCCCCAAGGTCACAGGAGGAAAGGAGCATGATCTCCAGAGCCAGGCGTGTGGCTTGCCCCTTCGCTGTCCACAGCGTTTTTTGAAACTCAGGTCAGTCGGGTGCACACCTGTAACAGGGAGACCATCACCTCCCTGAATTGAGGACAAGCACAAAATCCTCACAGACCTCAGGGGGTGGCAGTGGGTTTATTGCTGTTGCCCTCAGAGGCTGTGTAGCCAAGAACCATTCCCGTGGGCTGTTTGGTTTGGAGCCCTGCCTTTTCAGCCTCTCCACCACTGCTGGGAAATGTGAAATTCGCCCAAGGAGTTGTTGCTGGACGTGGCTAAGTGGCATTTCTACATTTGCACAATGAAAGCACATGAAATACCGAAGCACCTCGTTTTGGTAGCAGCAGAGCTTGCACGTCCCCCTCTGCGCAATGCCTGCACGGGGCTTTTTTGCCCGTCGCTCCCTGCTTTGCTGTGCGCTGCCTGGCCCCTGCTGGGCTCTTGGGGAACGGCACCCGCTGGGGCATGGGGAAGTCGGGGGGATGCTACAGCTCTGAAGGCTCCTTCTTTATTTTTATTTTTATTTTATTTATTTATTTTTTCTAGTGCATGACAGGTTGAAATGTCTTTGCTTTGGTCCCGCTCCGTGGTCCTGACTCTACTGAGGGCAGGAATGGGCAGGAGGGGGGCAGCCTGCAAAACCTGCCCCCTGCTTGGCTGTGCGTGGTAAGTAAACTCGTAGCGATGTAGCATATACAGGGATAAGAACAGCTTGTCTTCTGCTTCTGTTTTTTCTGAGCAGAGGAGCTGGCTTTGAAGTAAAGTCTTGTGAAACTAGAATTTGGGACAGTGAATTTGTACACGTGCATCAAATTCCAGTGGTTAAAACAAAACCATTTTTCTGCAGTGGCAAGCCTGGTATATCATTCCAGCAGTGTGTAGCTGTGGTGGCGATATGTTCTCTGAGCTCTTTTTGGGGTGGGACATAAGGAGTCATGCTGTAATACCTCCAGTAATAATTTAGTGCAATAATTTCACAATTAAATAGACATTCAAAATGTACAGTAGTGTTCTGCCCTTGTTGCTAGCACATGTACCAGCATCATATTTGCATGGTGCCTCAATTTCTGCAGGCACTACACAGGTGTTTGTCAGAGATTTTCATTTGTAGTATTTAGATCCATGTTTAAATACTGTAAATGTAAATATTTGAAAAGTAAAAATAACTCAGGAAGTCATAAGACATTGCTTGTAGAATACTTTAAATACTGTCTGTTGTGTAAGAAGAAGAAATACAGCTTTTGCTCTCTCCTTTTTTTTCCAGATATTTTCTTGTTTGTTGTTTGCTTCCTGTTGATGTATTAAAGATGTTTCTTATTTATGAGCTCCATTGTGAAGCTTCACATAAGAGCATCAACTTAAGGATAACAGTCTACACTGGCTAAAGCATTAGCTTTACTGCCCTTTCCTCTTGGGAATTGTCTCTGGCTCCTTTAGCAGACACTTCTAATTCTTCATAATCTAGAGGCTGCTACTTTAAAAATTTATGTGTTTTTTCTTGGGACTCAACAAGCTCTTCTATCCCATCAAGCCACTAATTGGCAGCACCAACCGACTCATTGATGAGAAATAAGGGTAAACCACAAAGAAATTGACTGGGGTTTGTTTGTTTGTTGGTTGCTTTTCATCTTCATCAGCAATAAACCTTCAAAACACCTCTGCAGTTACACAAAAGATTTAGGAGTTATACAGAAGTAGAATAGTTAATGGAAAAAAATATTTATAGGATATCCAGATTAATAAATACAGAGTTGTTTGTATGCTGCTTTGTGATAAGTACAAAAAGCTTGTTTTATGCCAGGTGAACTTTGTACCAGGATATTTGGAGTACATAAATCTGAGGAACTGCAAGCAAGTAGTTCATGACTGTTCCTGAAGTTTTAACAAGTAAGAAAAGTCTTGATGCATGCAAAAGCTTGTGATTGATTAAAAAATTAGCCTAACCAAACCTTTAAGGCTTTGTAGCGCATATTGATTGAAATAGATGGATGATAAAATTAGTAATGCAATGCAAACAGGAAATAAGATTGATTGTATCAAATTAGTGTGTTACACTTTCTACAAATCATCCCAGTGGCTTAACGAGATCGCAAGGCATTTTGACACCTCGTCCAATGCCTTTAGATCAAAGGAAAGTGAATTAATAGCTATTGACTGGAATTGTACAGTTGGCTGCTTCACCAGTTCTAAAGTTTGGCTGATGTAATCTAATGATTTATATCAATACCTCTGAGAAAGCAGTGTGGTTAATTTCAGTATCCCAGTGATAACTTGGTAGAGAAAAATCACTTCATTAGATTCTAAATTGCATTAAAAATATTATTTTTGTATTTGTGTAGCTATGGGGGGGAGGGTGTACACACATGTATACAATATTGGGTTTAATTAGATATTGAGCCAAAAGAGCAGGTTCTGTGTTCAAAAGCTTGCTCATTTTTTCTTACTGTGCTGGTTGGCTTAATAAAAGAGATTAGCTAGGAAAACACTAATACCACTAATAATTCCTTGAATTCTCTTACACATCAAATGGTATGCATTTCTTAAAAGAAAAAATAAAAAGTCTACCAAAATGATAAGAAGAAACTACTTATTCCTCTTTCACAGAGGAATTATTTTGTACTTAAAAATACTAAATATTTAGTGACAGGCTTATCTTCTTGCACTTGGGGCCAAGATTTGTATCAGCTGATATCACTACAAATTAATAGGCTAGTCTATTCATCAGTGAAGTTAACAGTTAATTATCTGACCATTACTATATCGGGTTAAATTTAGACTTCATTTGCAGGTATTCATCACTACTGAAGAGTAATAAAAAAGGGAAAACTGATAGATGATTTTGTAGCCTCTATTTTGGGTCACATGGAACAGATCCAACCATTGAGCAACGTATGTTCCACTCGTGTAACACCTTGGAAAAGCTCTACCTTGGAAAGCTCTACCAAGCAAATAAGATGCTCTTTGTTTCAACAATCTCTTTGAATGGCCTCAAACTGCGTTAGCCCAGAGTGGTACAGCTCACTGCACTGCACGTACCAGCTCATGGGACTTCTTTATGACACCAGTAATTTTATTATGATTTCCTGAAGAGAATCTAATCAAAAAGTATTTTTCACTCTAATGATATCTGTAGCTTGTGGATATCACCATGTTCAGTAATTTCTAGGCATGATATGTTCTTTTCAATTAGATTTTAAAGGATTAAAGTCCTGAAATACTCTTATCGTTTACATTTTGAGTCGTTTCAGAGAGGGTATTTCCTGCAAACCATCTGACTTTCTAAGCTGACCCACTGAAGCCAGTTGTCAACTTAGAGTTGCTCTTTGACAACCAGTGTTAATATGCATGGTTTCTGCAAGAAGTCCTTCTTTTTTTCCAAAGAAACATCTACCAAGCATGGGAGTGGCACGCTTCTCCCAGCTGCAGATTGCAGCAGTGGTAAATGAATATTTATCAGCCCTCCATCGACGCAGGGCTGAACATGAAGTGTTTTGTTTAAATCTGAATTTGGGGTAGGTCAGATTTTGTTTCAGAATGTTGCCTTGGGGTAACTTTTCTCACCTTCTTTCTTCCACAGAATTACAAAAATAGTAACAGAGGCAGTAGAAAGGCAAGGAACTGGAGGAAGCCTGCCCAAATGGACCACCACTGCCTTGTTTCAATCAGTGCTGAATTACTGAGTAGTCATGACTAACATGTGATTCACACTGACAGGAAGACCTGCTCACAGCTGGCAGAGTTTTCGTTGGGGTAAGTGCACGTTCTCGATTCATCAGAAAAGCATTCAGGTCAGTTTTTGAGGCATGGCTAAAGAACTGACCCATTTTTATCCTATCTACACTGGTTCATTTGTATCCTACAGCAAGCTTGCCTGAACTGAAGTTGAAGTATCAGCTGCAGTTTGCATCTAGATAATCTGTTCACACATTTCAGTAGCAGCAGCCTTTATAAAATAGGGTGGCTTTGTTTTTTTTTGTTGGTTAATTGGTTGATTTGCTGGTTTGTTCTTGGCCTTTTTTTTTTTTAAACTTGTTTTGCTATTCTACACATGGTCTGAGGAAGAGATCAGAGAATCCAAATAGAACATGAATATCATTAATAGGTAGAAATCAATAGAAAAGCTGATGGACCTCAGTACAATTATCCTGAGTGTCAGAGTAGTCATATGCCTCCAGTTGTGGTGTTTTTTGATTTTTTTATTTTTATAATAATTCAAACAAGCCTGGTAAACTTGCAAAATCTGGTGAGGCTTTGAAATTAGAGATGACATCTATGTATCTAACATGTAACAAAAATCTTTGAGTCTTTTGTAGAATTATTTTTCTTTACTAAAATCATGAGCACTAAGAAATTGTATAATTCTCAAGAAATGTCCATAAGCATGCAAAATAATCTGCCATTTCATAGGTCTCCGCTTTGATTTCTGCTAAGGCTTGTCTTTATCTTGAAGTCATGAGATAAGATATCCCTTCCAAACCTTATCTTGCATGTTACAGTAAAGCTGTGTGTTCTGAATTCAGTATAAAGGTAGCATCTCCTGTGGTCTAGTTAGGTATTATATAAAGAAACTTCTTATTGTTATTTACTTCTTCTTTTCCTTTTCATTATAGGGTCTGTTGTGCTTTTCTATGGGAAATAGTAAACAGCAATTTCTTATCTGCCTGCTCTGTTCTGTGCACAATTTTAGGTTTCTGTTCTTTCTTTTCTAATAGCTCCATTTCTTCAATATTAGGCTGTTCCAGCTCTGTGCCATTTTTTCCCCTTCTCTCTGTTTTCTCCATGAGGGGGTTGTTAGTTTTAGGATGGAATAATCAACGATATCTTAAAAGTGGCTACAGTACTTCAGGCATGTCAGTGTATTGATAATACATCTGTAGATTAACTATAGTTGTCTTTTATTTACTCATTCTGCATACCAGTATTTGAAAGTCTCCAAAAACACCCGCATGTTGAACAGACATTTTAATTGAGCTATTCAGTCCTATTGTCCTTTATATATTAAATATATATAAAATAAACATAAAATCCTGTAAGCTTTGCAAGCAATTTAGTTCTTCCTTCTGACTGACTGCATGTTCAATAATCTCAACTGAATTATTTGTTCTATAAATCTGTCTGTCTGGGAAGTAGAGTGAAGGTATCAGTCATGTCCAGTTTGAGCATGGACAAATAAATGTCATGAGAACTGCTTTGGGTGGTTCTGGCTTTTTCCATGAGATTAAAGTGTCTTGTATCTAAAAAGAAATTTACACAGATTAAATTTGCCTGAACAATGTATTGGAATATTAAGTTACATGTATGTATTTGTGTATATATCTCTATATATAGATACATATGATAGTTTTAAGCACTGTTCTACTTCAAATACTGCGGTTTTATTGGGGAAATAATTACAACAGATCATAATTCTGTTGGTGACATCCCTTAAGTGTAATTTAACAGTGAACAAGAACCCCAAAATTCTCAAAGGTAAGATCGTATCACATAGACTTTTATTTTCTATTTTAGAAAACCTTTCATTACAAGGTAAAATTTGAAAAAGATGATATTATTTTTACTACTATGCAGTGGTTTTCATACTTAATGTTACCTATAAAATTACCTGCTGTATAGCAAAGACTTCAAGAACTAAGAATTATTTTTTTTCCCATTTGCTATATGCATGAGCATAGGAGCAGCAGAATGTAAAGAAAAAGAGGAAAAAAAGGTTTCACAGCTCAAACAGGCTTTGCTCACTTGACTGACACTCAGAGATGACTTTACAAAGTGACTGAGAATCTTTGAAGTGTCTTCTCATGACTCTTGTAGCATTGAGTCTTTGGGGATGGGGGAAATGGATACTATTCGTAGTGACTTGTGTTAAGTTCATCAACACGCCCCTGTAAACATTTCTAACACCGTTTGTGAAATCCGTAGACAGGAAAAAGAAAGGAAAAAAAGGCAAAATCTTATTACTCGTTTTCTGCTACAGAGAATAAAAAAGCTGTACCAATATCCAAAGGGACACCAACAACATTTGTAAAATTCTTTATTCATGCCTATAATACCAACAGAGTCAAAGGCAGAGAATGTGTATCGCTTTCTTTCAAAGACCAGAGTGATGATATGAAATTTAAAGAATGATGAAGATTCAAAGAACAGTTACAGTGCTGCTTGGAGAAACCAAACCTTGTGTGCAATTCCACTCTCTATCAAGCACACACATGAAACCTTAAGTAAATACCAATCAAATATTGCAGAATATCGCTAAAGGCTACAAATTCCAAAGGCAGTCTGATCTACATGCATTAAAATGATTTATTAGATCATATGGACTTCCAAAGGCTGTGGATCTAACCCTAATAGACTGTACTTCTTGATTTCAAATTCCAGTGGCCTTTGCCCTTTTGCATCAACCAGGAGCTTCTTCCAAAAATAATTTCCTGAATGTAAATTCCCGGCTGCAGTGGCTGTTACTTGGTGCATATCGTTCAACGAACTGAACCTTTAATTAGTTAAGAACACACAAAACTTGCAACTTCTCATAATAATGAAGTAAGTCTTCCATATTTTGTTATAAATTTCAGTTGGAAATAATTAACATGGCTCACAGGCTACTTATGTAAGATGACAGAAGAGATTCTTGCTCCTTCTCCTGAGAGGGCTAACGCTTCAAAATTGTTTCTGAACAAGCACCTTTCCAAGAAGCTGTTTCTCATTCTTTACTCACATTAAGAAAAAGGTGAGGAACACCATCCTCTTAACTGTGTCATTATCTGAACATCAAGCAAATATCACAACAGGATGATGTGATAGCTGTGTGTGGTATCCATGGAATAATGTATTGCATTCGCTGTTACAAGTCATTGATTTATTGTCACTCTGGGTATGTTTGGAATAGATTGCTTGAATAATAAGTGTGCAGCAAGTCTTGGAAGTAAATTTAACAATCCATCTGCATTAAATAATATTTGTATTTGTAGCAGATTTCTATCTAGTGTATTTTAAATCAATTCTGTCAAAAGACTATGGAAAATACATACAAAACGCTTTATTAATTAAAGTCATGATAATAGTTAATTGAGTAGCAAGTTGTTTACAACTGTAAATATGTTGTAGTTGCCTGGGATGTTTCTTTCAGCATAGAGAAAGACGACTGGCAAAACTCAGAGGTTTGGCATTGGACACTAAGGGTATTTGGTTAAAGGATCTTCAAACTTGCGTCTTGTCTCTACCGATGTCAATGAGAATTTTGTCACTTACTTAGGCAAGTGTGAAGTCATCTTTTTCTAATGTGAAGTCTTGGCTCAAGGGGTAATTATGTTAAACTGAAGGGCCAGTTTTCTGATTCTGGCCTCCAGATTGCGTGTGACCTTGCACAAATCAGTTTAGTACTTCCCATCCAGCAGCAATAGGAGTACTAATGGTTAAATAACCTTTACTATTTCACAGAATCATGGAATCATTAAGGTTTGAAAAGACCTCCAAGATCATCTAGTCCAACCATCCAAATCTGTACCAATGAAAGCAGCCACCTGCCTGCCCAGCTGCTGGGCATGCCTGCACCATGCAAAGCAACCCTGTACTGGAACACTGGAGCCAACTGCGGGTGAGCAGACATGGATGAGTCCCTGCTGTCAGTGCAACACAGAGCCATGCAGCACAACAGCAGGGCTGCTAAAGGATGCGTTATAATCTCGTTAGCCTGGTGCCGTACCTCAGCTCGTTCAATCAGAGCTCTCTGTGCAGTACTCCAGTGCATGCCCAGGTTAAGCCTACAGGGTTTGCGAGCTATCCCTCCTGTTCCCTCTCATTGTCCCTCCTTTGCCCACCATTGCATTTTCTTTCTAATTTTCCATTCAGAAGATAGTTAAGAGAACAAAAGTTACGATGTGCTAAGATGCTGCGGTGATGAGACCTCTGCAAGCCTGTAAGGAGCTAGATAAAAGGTGGCAAGCGGCAGAGGTTACAGAAATGAAGTTATTTAATTGCTGATATTACGTGGTGCTGTTCGTAGATGAGACAGATAAAAATATTCAATATTCTTGTTCGGCTGAAACTGTTCATTCCAGTTCATCCCCTCTGATTGAGACGAAATGAGCCTTGAAATAATGTGTCTGTCTGTCTGTACTATTGACGCCTGCTGAAAAGAATTTGTCAGACCATGTGTTTGTGGGCTCTTGGCTGAGCTACCGGAATGACTCCTCTCGTTCACTAAATGCGGGCTTGTTTTGGTGCTGAGTGACATAAGTTTTGCTGTGGAAGTCACATCCAGTGGCTTGGCTTCTGATCACAGAGTCAGGATTTGACTAACTTTTTCCAGCTAGTGAGATGCTGTGCAGTATCTTGAACTTTGAACTACGTGGGACGAACAATGTTTAATTCAGACATCAAAGAACAGACTTCTTTGCAAAGGAGTCTTTCCAAAGGAGAACTGAAAGTTATTCCAGCTTAATAGGAGTTAATTTGCAATATTAAGCTGTGGGGTCATTGGCAGACCACCCAGGACAGGATAGTCTTGCTGGATGTTTTGTGATCCCTTTGTCTCTCGGTGGTTGTTTTACCTTTCCAACTACTTTATCAAACGGGTAAAGTTAACCATGTAACACTGTGCCAGAACAAAGTGCAAGACAGCTCTTAGGTCTGAGATACTAGATCGTAGTAGGTTATTTGTGTACACAACTATATGTACACGTGTTTCCTTGTTCAGACTTGAGACTCCATCCCATACTGATGCAAATGTCTGATACTTCTTGATGGATGTTCCTGAGCCCTGGACTAACACAGCAGCCCTTACCTGATCATAAGCTTTATGCATTGTTTAGACTCATGCATCTTACCCAATTAAATATTTTCAGTCTTTTCAGTTGTTAAACTTTTAGAAATGTTCTTATCAAAACATCTAAAAAAAAAAAAAGCAGTCAAAGCCTCTGTATAGCAAGCTTGTGCTGTCCAAGTCTGTCTTCCAGCTAAAATATTCTTTCCACTGCTGTATTTGAGGTAGGAGTGGAAATCTGGAATTAAAATTAAGTGGAAATTAGGCAGACTGAGACTTAAAAGCAGAACAGTAGGCCATAACCTTAAAAAAGGCTCCTGAGCCATGCACTCATGCTCTGGTGAATCTCTTAGTAAAGTGTAAGCATTATACAGACCATCCGTAACTACCCTTTATTTCAGCTGGAGTGTTCTGTGGTGCTCACGATTCCCTCAAGACAGTTTTTTCCCCCAGAGAAATTACTTGTACCATGTTAAAGGTTATTCTTTCCTCCAGAAACCGAAGTTAGATCAAGGCAGAGTTAGAGGTATCATGGCCTATGTATACTGTGAATTAAGTCATTTTTTATTTTTTTCTTTGCCATGTGGTTATAGATAATATTTCTAGTTATGAAAAAAAGAAAAATCATTTATTTCACCCCCCATTTTTTTTCTTGCCATTTAATCTGTTTAAATTTCAGTGTGTACAAGAGTTCTGATTTTAAAATTATGCAATTGAAAACCTCTTGATATGTGGTGGAAAGGATATCAAATATTGGACAGTAGCCTTAGATATGACAAGATAATTAAATAATCAGGGTATTGGATAATATCTGCAGATGACAAAATATTTATTATGTACGGCAATCATGAGGACAGTTCTTTGTCAGTAAATTAAACTCTTCTGCAAATGATTTTCTCATTTTAGTGACAGCTGAAGACATTTTGTGACTTTATAAAGGAACGTGTTTGACATTTGTGCAGCAAAAGGTGCTGTTGGTGTATGAGAGAAGAGCACACAGGACTTGATCTCAGCCAACAAGGCAATCTAAGAAAATGAAACCGTCTTCTGCAGCAGCAGCTCTGATCCAGTCCCCCATAAACCTCCCCCAGGGCCGCGTATCCTCAGCACTCTCCTCCTTCAGCCCTCGGTCTTCGCCCTAATGCAGCCTCTCAGGCAGTTTATGCCCCAGCTTCTTTTCAAGCTGTTCTTCTTCTGGCTCATTTCCTATTTGAAAATCCCCTCAGGAGGCAATTCTCCTGCCCGCCTCATTAGCGCACTGCTGGGTTCAGACTGCACCGTAAGTTTGGGGCCCTTTGGATGTCACCCCCTGGGCGTGCTGGGCAGGCAGGTGAGCGGCGCATGAAGTGGAGGACGTCCTTTGTGTGAGGGGACTGCACGCCTGTCAGCAGCTTGTCCTTATGGCTGAATTTCAAAGGGTTTAGGAACTGATCTTCCAGGCAAGGGTTGGGTTTTTGCAATTTTCTATTTCCTGTTTTATCTTAATCTCTTTTGTATTGGAAACCTTAGGACTGATTTTTACTTTGGAGAAGGGAGTGTTATGGGGTGATTGGGTCCTTACATTGCTGGTATTTCTCCGTGTTATTTCCATTTGTATGGCAGTTTATTCATGGCTACTGCTTTGCCTGCTGTTGTCCTCAGGGCTCTTAGTTTTGGGCACATCAGTGGCCATGTTTCGTAGCAAAAAAGCAAAATCACGTTAAATATTATCACAAAAGGAGAATTCTCTGTTTAGAAAGAAGATGGCGTTGTCTGCAGCCTCGCGTCACGAGGAGGCCTCGCGTGACACATCGCAGCGCACATCCCAACCTTTGAGTTTATTTTAGAAGACATCTAAATTTAAAAGATTTACCATTTTCTGTCTGCCCAGCTTCTCAGCTGACTGTAATTCTGGTGTGTGGATTTTCGGTCACAAATCTCTTTTGATCCTCTTTGCAATATTCTAATGCCTCATGCTTGGTTAATCTCCTTGCTGTGCTGCAGGCCTGTGCCGTGTTTGCAGTGTCCTCCAGTGCTTTGAGGGAATTTTCATTTCACTGCTTTTAGAATTTGAGCAAACAAGAACGAAAAGAAGACTTGCATGTAAATTAAGAGTATTTCTCTGCCTGCTCTACTGCCTTATTCACAAAAACGTAAGTAATATTTGGTATTTGCTGTCTTCCTGTGTTATGTTTTCTAGCACTGGGCACAGGGTAAGGACAGTCTGCGTTCTCAGGGAGGTTTGTGTCTCCAAACCACGCCTGAGCAGTGAGGCAGGAGGAAGGCTGGAGCCACGTGTCCATGCTGCATCTCGTGGACAGCTGATGTTCAGGCTCAGGCCTTCCAGCAACGTCATCTCCAGCTTCAGACACAGACAGAAGCAAAAGGTAATGCTGCCCTTCCCCCCAGGCTCCTGGAAGTTTTTATTACTGCTGTTTCAGTTTTCCTTCATGATGAATGTGTAGGGCTGCTCTGGTGATCGAGCAGCTTGGCTGCTACACGCACCACAGCAAGAGTCAACATTCGGAGAAGTTTCTTGAAAACAGAAAAATCCTTGTCGCTGCCGTGCCACCAAGATGAAGCCGCTGTTTGCCATTCCCTGGGGAGCACAGTTTACTCCTCCGTTAGCGCAAAAACCAGGTAAGGGCTTGCCACCAATGACTCCTCACTAACTGAAATGGTCATCTTCCCTCCGCGGGAAGAAATTCCACTGTTAACAAAGCATTATCTCAAATGACAATTAATACTCAGAAGTATTTCTGTAACATTTCTTGGCTTCCGCTGAATTCCAGCACAGTTCCCGCCTGTGAAAAGCCCCAAGAGCATTCGGAAAGCATTAGTTTTTTTCAGTATAATTGTCTTTGAGTTTTAGAACAACCTGAGAGAATCCAGTATGGTGAAACTGCTTGGCATGAGTCACAAGATACTTGCAAAACAGTCTGGAATTTTCAGTAATTTGTTGTTTTCCTTTCTCTTGAAAGCATTTTTTCTCTTAGTTATGCTTCTGGAGCATATGGTGCATATAAAATGAGGTTCTACATTACAAAAGTATCTCAACCCACCAAGCACTTTTATCTGGCGTGACTAATAATCCAACTGTCAATGAATCCCTGACTTTCTCTTACAGATTTAATGTCCTATATGTAATAAACTGCTTGGCAGTCAACCTTTTGTCCTAAAGTCTTCTTCCTTAGGCCAGACTCCGGCCCTGCTTTTATCTCGTCATATATAAGCCATGTATTGTAACAGTGCTACAAAAGACAGAACCTAAACCAGACAGCTATGCTTTTCAGTTCTGAATATGCACTGTCTTACCAATGCTAGTGGTAAAACTGCTAAGCGATGGCAGAAGCTGGGAGATGTATAAAAATGATGGAGAATGGATGAGGTTTATTTCAATCAGGCATCAGGTTTCCGACTGGGAAGCAGAAGTAAGGAAAGCAATTTCAGGGCTTATATTACAGAAGGCAGAGGACAAAAGCTTCCTCTTTCCCACTTAATGTTTTTTTTTTGAAAATTTGTCATCCCTGTTCCCCAAAAAACACCAACATATTTTCTTACTGTGGGCTTTTGAACAGTATTTCAATGAGATGTGGTATGATATAATTTCTTCAAAATATTACAGGTTTTCTTAAACAACCAATACCCATTTTGTGAATTAAGTTTTGTTTTTTTAAAGATTTCTCAGATTGTTCTAGACAGACTTCCCAGACTTTCTATTACTTTCTAGATTATCAGCTAACACCTGTGGAAGCAGAAGTACCTAACATCTATTACATTCAATTGACTAAAAAACTGCTGTATAGAAACATAATTTGGTTTATAACCCCTCTTCTGGTTTCTTCAGTTTTTATTGCTGACAATTGTTTTCTCCCATATTAGCACCTATATTTAATACCCACACCTTGTATCTCAGTTTGGTGAGGGCACACCACCTTTATAGTTTAACATACTGTTGCAATTAACTTCTTAGCATGTTTATAAGTATCTAGACAAGTTCTAAGTAAATAATGTTGTTTCTTCACAGAAAAGTTTGCAAACATGGTGATGTAAATAGTTCCAAATGTTTTAGCACAGGTGTTCCTGCTGGTGACTGGATAAGATTACGAATCACTGCAGCTCAGCCCTGAGCCTCAAAGACACCGATGCCTATGTGGAAGTGTGAGTACGTACGTAACACCGAGCACATGCTTCAAGTTCTACTGCTGTCTGGGGTGTTTCACCCATTTTTTGGAAAAGAACAGGTCTTTCCCCAAGTATTTCACCACAGTCGCAGTGAAGACTGATGGTAAGTCAGCTATGCTCATGCAGGGCTGAGGATTCATTATAATGTACATGAAGCTCAGTGAACACACTGCTGCCTAGTGCTGTTCTTATTTCAGCTATACCAGTATGCGCATGTTAAGTAACAACAAAAAAGAAGCATCAAATTTGTAGCAGTGGGTTATGTATTATGTTTTTAATGTTAGAGGTATCTTCATGCAGGAAAGTACAATTAGGGTTTACATTTATATTCGTTATTCAAAGTTTAAAACTGTTGAACCATATTTGAGAGCAGGAGGATGGGACGTTCCAAAAATAATCCTGATCTAGAAATCAATGTTGTGCCCTAAGGTTTGGAGCAAACGTGCAATTGCCACTGTGATGTACTTTTGGTAGTAACAGGGTTGAAAACTAGGGCAGCACATTTCTGTGGCCTGTGCTCAGGCTTGCTCCGATCACACTTGTTCCTACTTTTAATCAATGTGGTTGCAATACTTGAAAATATTTTAAGAAATACTAGTTTTAAGAAAGGGCTTTGGTAAATCACAGCTGTATGCAGAACGTAAAAGCAATGCATAATATAAAAGAGACTCAGGAAAAAGAAAAATCTATAGCTGGAACATTTTTCCATCAACAAAGTTTTAATTAAAATAGCCTCCTTTTAACTATGCACGCCACAGAGCATATTATTGCTCTCTCCAGCTCCCTGAAAGGAAGGTGTGGGGAGCTGGGGTCGGCCTCTGCTCACAGGTAACTGGTGACAGGAGCAGAGGGAATGGTTGTGCCAGGGGAGGGTCAGGCTGGGAATTAGGAGAAAATTCCCCTCAGAAAGAGCAGTCAGGCATTGGGACGGGTTGCCCAGGGGGTTGGTGGCATCACCATCCTGGGGGTGTTGAAGGAGAGGCTGGATGTGGTGCTCGGGGACATGGTTTGGTGGTGACATAGGGGTGGTTGGAGCAGATCCTGGCGGTGTCTGCCAACCTCCGTGACTCCCTGACGCCAGGGCGGGCTGTGGCGCTGAAGCAGCCCCACTTCACATTTGGTGAGGCGGGTTTGGTTCTCGCACCGTGTCCCCCACCTCAGCACAAGGCCATGCCGGGTGGAGCCGTGCCCCTTGCTGGTGAGCCGGAGGCTCTGGCTGACGAGAACTCTGCCACGGAGCCCTTCAGCACCCCACGGCCCCTTCAGACCCCTCCTCCGCGTCACCCCGCGGGGCCGGGGCTCTCCTCGGCGGCTCCTCGCGACCCTCAGGGCCGGGCGGGGGACCCGGGGACACCCGAGAGGGCCCCGGGGACACCGTGGGGGTGCCGGGGACGCTGAGGGGGGAGCGGCCGCTCGCAGCCCGCCCGTGTGAGGCGGAGCCGCCCCCGCCCCCGCTCCCGCCCGCCGCCGGCTGCAGGCGGGGCCCGGCGCCGCCCCGCGCCCGCAGGAGAAGCCCCGCGGCCGCCGGTACGTGTGGGGGGACCGGGGGGAGCAGGGGGGACACGGGGCTGGGAGCCCCCGGCACGGCTCTGGGTGGGGCGGGTGAATGAGAAGGGGCCCCCCCCGGCCCAGGCTGGAGGCTGAGCACGGGCAGGAGCGGGCTCCCGAGGTCCGGGCTGAGCCCAAGGCGAGCAGCCGGGGTCTGGGCACTGTCCCCAGGGAGCCCCGCCGGGAGCTGCTGAGGGGATTTGGGGCTGGGCGCTTGGGGAGGTTCAGCTCTGCCTTCCCCCGAAGCTTTCCTCTCTCATCCCTGTGCCTGGCTTCCTTCAGTCCTGGCTGCACTCCCTGCAGGTGGAGCTTCCGAGCAGCTCAGCATCCTCGGGTGCTTCACCCCTTTCTTTTACAGCCTCCCTCTGAAGCTTTGCCTGACAGGGGAACTCCATTTGGTCCGGCCGTGTTGATTGAGAAAGCAAGTTTTAACGGATACCCGGCACCCCGTGCTTGTCTGTGTGCAGGGGTGGTGAGTCCGTGACTCTCCCTTGCCCATGGTCTGTCAGACCAGCCCTGATGAACGCCTGCTTGCCTGTGTCCTGGGGGGCACAGCCACCAGGTTGCTTGAAAAGCCAAGCAGAGAGTGCATTGGAGATGTTTCCTCCACGCTCCGACAGCAGCAGTAGTACCCACGGTTGCATGGGCTAAACAAGAGCAGGTCGTGTCAGGAGTGCTCAGCATCCTCCTCACCTCTTCTCTCCGGGCTGCTCTCCAAGCTGAAAGCAGCCCTGGCAGGCAGGACGCTGTGCCGAAGGCAGGACGGAGGGTTTCAGGACAGGCTGAGCGGGGCACACTTCCACTTTCACGAAATGACAGAGCTACCAAGCACATGGTGCTCTCAGCCTCTCACAAGACTGTTTCCTGGGTGGAAACACACCTGACTGCTGAGAGCTGGACCTAAGTGGCATGGCTGTTTTCTGAGGTTTTGCGATTTTGATGTACAGGTTCCTTGCTTCACCTTTAATGCTTGCTGCATCAACCATCTTCTTACTGAGAAGCCTTTGGAACCGAGCTAGGGAAGGGAAGAGTGAAAGAAAAGTGCTCCCCAGTCCTGTGCTGCTGCCCCAGTCAGCTACAGGCTGCCTTGGAAGCCTGCAGGAGTTAATCGCTTCTAGCCGGGGCGGGGGGAAGGCTTTAAAATTCCAGCGTGTGCTGTGAGATAGCCAGGAGACTTTCACTGATGCGCTAATCCTGCCGGCACAGCGGTTGTTTGCCTCTCCGGCACGCAGCCCCTCCAATCTGCAGCTCTTATCTCGTGTCGGCAGCAACACCAGGGAGAGGGAACGGCGCTGTGAGGGACGAGGCTCTGTGCTTGCTCGTCATTGCCTGCGTTGTTTTGGTGTATTTGGGTATTTCAGTGATTGCCTGGGGGAGCTGAGTCTTGGCAATCGTCTTAAAATAGCATTTTAACTTTCTTCTCCTATGATTAGAAAGAGACTTCCTCATAGACGCGTGTCCGTGCCTCTGCTCTGTAGGATCTGCGGGAAGCTGGGTGTTAAGGAGAGGCACAACCATGAACCTGCTGGGCTGGCACATTTTGGGAGGGCCCGCTGGGGGCTGCTCTGCACAGGGGAGCCTCTGAACCCCACGGCGCTGGTGGGGGTGCCCTCGTGTTGGTGTTGTGTCCTCGTGCCTTACCATTTCGTGTGGTAAGGCGCAGCCCAGAGGTACCTGTGTGCCCCGAGTGCTGCTCGGTTTACCTCTGCTGTTAGCACCTTGGGTCACCTGTCAGCCAGCGTGGGTGGCTCTGATTTTCCCCGTGGTGTGCTTGTCTGGCGTGCTTCCCACGTCAGCCTGAGAAAAAGAGTTTGTAATCTCAGTGGAAATACAGGGAAATTTTGTTCCCTTTGTGTTTAATTTTTCAGATTGTTTTTAGAATAAAAAAATACTTGCTATTTCTGAAAGGCTGAGAAATGCTGTTGGGGCTAGCTGCACATCCAGCTGGCACACATAACCACTGGCTGGGTACTTCTGCCATGTACATCTTGTGGGTAGTTTTGGAGGCCCCGCTGCTAGTTTTTGCTATTGTCAGTGGGGAGGAGAACTTGTGCTGAACAGTTTCTAACATTCCTATCCCTACTCTGCAACATCAATATTACACATAAATTTCAAACTCCTCTCTCCGTCAGCCCAGGAAACTGTGCTGCTGCTTTTTCATAGCCCAGGAAAGCAGGAGGCTTCATTTTGGCTGGCTTTATTACGACAGAGTAATGCAATTCCCCTGCTAATGACAGCGCCGATTGTCCGACCGTTCTCCCTTTGTGCTTGGATGATGAACGGTCCAGGTCTCAGCATCTGTCTTGGAGATGGAGAAAATCAGAGAGGACTTTTAAGCTCAGACACAAGATGGGGCACTCCAGATGCTTGGCATCGTACCCGTCCTACAGCCCAGCCGGACCCACAACCCTGCACTTGCTGCGGCAGGGGGAGGAGGGCTGGCACCCTGCGAGTGGGGCAGGAGCCCCTTGCCCCAGCAGTGGCCCCGCTGCACGCCCAGGGCAAGGCACTGGACGTGCATCGCTGCAGCCTCTCGCTCGGTGTAATTTCTGAAGTGCTGCATCATCCTTTTGTGTTTGACAAAGTCAAACTGCTGGGGGGGGGGGAGCAGGCCAGCAGGGTTCTGCAAGGACAGCTCGTAGAGATTCATCTACCTTTGCCACGACACACAGCTCTGACACCTTCCCACGTGCTAAGTTTTATTTCTCAATTCCCTTTGCAGAGTCCCAGCTGTGAAGCTGTCTGTGCTGCTCTGGGGACAAGGGGGATGATTTGTTAAAAGCAGACACGTTACTGGTAAGTAGCACGCTGAGCTTCCCTCATGGGCACTGAGGAAGAAGCTAAATGCCTCCGTGCTGCAAGGAGTCACATGGAAACCTACAAGTTTGGGAGGTGAGGAGCCTGGTTCCCTTAGGGCAGAAATCACCCACTGCGTCCAACTGGGCAAGGCTACGCTGAGCTATCTTGAAAATTTTGATTATTTTAATGCTAAAACATCTTTATTTCTCTAAATAAAACTGCAGTTATGCTATTAGTGTCTCCCATCCTGTTCCCCCCTCCTTCTGTATTCTGTATGGCATGATAGGAAACTGCAGGCATCTTTTCAATATTGTTTTATTTCCTTCAGCAGTGATTAGAAATGGACTTAGCTTGGCAGGAAACACTAAAGAAGGTCTGTCAAAGAGACGGCTTGGCCCTCTCATGCAAGGTGAGTTCAGCATGGTGCAGCTCCCTCAATATTTTCTGTCTTTGTGTTACCACTGTGCATGGATGTGTAGTAAGGAACAGGTGAAACAACACCTCAACCTGAAATTCCAGGGACATGTTTTCAGGACCCTTTTAGAAACAACGCACAGCGTGTATAGAATTGAAGTTAAATGAGGTGTTTAAAAGCTTATCGACTACACATCCACCCAAACTGAGCACAGCAAGCACTTGTTGATTTAGCTTGTCTGAAAAATATATTTCACTTACTGTAAAATTGGTCTTTAAAAAGAGAGTATCTGTTACGGCTTGTAATGCTGCTGCTTTAACTCCTGGTTAAGAGTGGAACAGAACAGGTGGCAGCACGCTAACTTCTGCCTTGAGCTGAGCACAGAAGCGTGTCCAGTGAGCAGCTACACCCAGAGGTTTTGGCCCGAGCCTTGAACCATCTATGCAGGGGTTCCTGAAACGCACCTGGCCATGGGTTAGAGCTTGGATGCTGACACAGATTCTTATCTGACAGTGTTGCCTGGAGCAGTTAGCGAGTGAAGCATTGTGCCAGCAGTAAAATGAACTCTTTTTCCCCACCAAAATGTGAGTTTTGAGCAAAAAGGCATGTTAAACTCCGGGTCATAACTTAACGCTCTGGAGATGAGTTAGGTGGGGAGGATTTAAACGGTGCTTTCTCCCCTATGTGCAAGCAACAGTTGTCAGGAAAACAGGAAAAGATTGAGGGCAACTTCACCTCCGACCATTTATGCGCCAACAATTATTAACTCACGTAGAGCAGGCAAACTATAAATCACACCACACCGACTTGGTAAGGACTGCACTCTATAAATAATGAAACGAGCAGCAGTCTAGAATTGAAACTGGGGTCAATAACTTTGCATTAAGCCTAACTAGTAATCAATTTGAAGCAATTTAGTTGTCTTGCATGTCTTGCACTCCGGCAGTTTTCCAGCCCACCCCTTTCTCTGCACAGGACAGTCACACCAACATTTGAGTGAGCACAAATGAAAAGGCAGAGGTGAGAAGGTGGGAACAGAGGTCAATCCTCAAGAGGAAGATGCTGGCCTTTCTTTTTGCCTGTTTTAGGAGATGTCTGTCCTCCTTCTATCCTCATTAGCTCCATCTTTCTGATAGATGCTAACTCATCTGTTGTCCCTTAAAAAGGGGGAAGGAAATCTCCAAGTTGTAGGAGCAAAATGTCTTAACATGATAAAATGTGAACTAAAACCGGTGAACTAAAACTCCTCTGAAAAGCGCACAAAAATGATAACACAGAAGAGAACTTAGCTCCAACCTTGGATTAAAAAATCCAAATTCAGGTGGTCGTTAGATAAAATGTCGAGATGAAACTGACAAAAATACATGGGTATATCAACTGTGGCATAGAGCGTCTGAACAGTATTCAAAATACAGTAGGAGAAGCTGAGGTTTAAGTCTGTAATATTTGTAGTTCTGGCTAAGACTAAGGAGGTCAAGAGATCTAACCTGAAACTTGTCACCAGCAGTGTAGTGAGAAGGGCAGGCTGGGTACCACGTGTGAAGCTTGTGAATGGAAGCTTTGACTGGATAAAGATTGCAGCTTTCAGGTATTAGCAGTGCTGTTGGTGATTCTGTACAATAGTAGATCATTTGAGATACGTATTTGTCCAGATAGGCAAGTGGAAATTATTTTGTTAATGTTTTATTAATGATAAATATTGAAATTAGATGTGTGCAAGAAAACACTATTAAAATGTTTTGAATTATTCAGAAGTCTGAATTGCATTCAGACATCTCCTTGGCCTCTGGTCTGTAAGCACTGTAAGTTTCATTAATACATGGAGTTGAAAAACAGCTATGAGCCTCACTTTTTTTTTTTTTTTCTATAAACTCCTCAGGGATATATATGGTTTCTTGTGCAGTGAAGAGAATCCTTCTTTTTGTTCATTTAATAGCAAGTTCTTAAAATAAAAATCTCCCCAGTAGTTTAGCTCTCCTCTGTGTTGAGTGGAACTACCAATGCTAGCAGCAGGGTCTGGCGCGTGCTGCATCGTGGCAGTATGGACAATAGAAAATTACAGAATTTTATCAGAATGAGTTACAGATGTTTTTCTAAAATGCTGAGTTGTTCTGATACCGAGCAGATGATACAAAAATGTTTGTACCTACCTCGTGGCTTCAGGAGCCCTTCAGGTCTGAGTTCCTGCCAGGAATGCCACCCACCGCTTCCGAGCGCTGGGCTCCAGTTTCACCGACTCCTTCCTGAAGAGGCAGGGATGTGCTCAGGAGCTAGCAGGAGGAGGAGGGAAGCTTGTCGCCAGGAACCTGCCTCTCACCAGTCAGCGGCTGGGCTGGGGAAGCCCTGTCCTACCTGTGAGGACTGCCTGCCTGCCTGCAGACTGATTTCCTCTGCAAAGATGTGCCTGCGATCAGCTTACCGGCTTGGAGCCCCTGTTTCCCCCAGGAAATTAAACAAATAAACAAGGCTTCGCATCTTTGCCATAATTATGTTTTCAAAGGCTATTTACAAAAAATGTTTAACTTTGGCTGACCTTAGCACAACGTCATCGTGTGAAGCTGTAGGGAACAGTTGGTCTCTGTGCAGCACAGTCTTTATTTTGGCTGGCAGTCTCTTAACTCTGGGTCCACTCATGCCAAGCACAGTCAGGCGCAGCACAAATTCTGCTTTGCCTGCATACAGAAAGTAGCCTGAGCACCAGCTCTGCAGGCTGGTAAACAGAAAACGTGGAGCAGAACTGGGGAGGAAACAGTTCTGAGTCTTGATGAGTTTGACAACATGACCCTCTCATGTGTTGAGAAAGGGGAAAAAAGTAGAAACTTCTATTAGCAAGTTCTTGTGGAGCACATCTGGAGGTCAGGTGCCTTGCAGAGCGCTTGTTCTCGAAGCTGAGCAAGTCTCCCTGCATTTTAAGTAACCTTAAGTAATTTTAAGTAATTGTTAGGTGGTTGTTGCGTGATGCTTTTGTCAGTGGGGGGGTAGGGGTTGTTTGTTTTCACTTTGAACAGCATCAGTCTCTGGAGTTAAATGGGATTTGTTTACTGATCGAGGAAAATAGCTCTGTGTAACCTGTTTGGAAGAAACTTATTTTTCCCTCGGGCTTTGCATTTGTATTGCATACAGACCATTATATATGGTTTACTAGTTCATACCACATACTGGGAATTGCACTCAAGGGCAGCTTGAATTCAAGCCAGACTTTGCCTAATAATTGTAGTAGATGGATGTTACCGATAAGCAAAATGTTTTACGCGTGCCATGCGCAGTTGGTTCTATGAGCTTCTGTAGCAAATCCAGCTCTCCTCTGAGCTCACTGAGAATGGCAAGCTGTGTATTTCATTTATATGAAACACTGTTTTGACAGATTTCTCCAGAAGTAAAGAAGCACTACAGGGGACGTTCTGTCCCTTTGGAAGAGCTGCAGCCGCTGGCGAGAAGCAGCAACGCTGTGCAGCGACCGAGGAAACCATTTCCAGGTTACCCAAACATGCCGTTGAACTGAATTTTGCAGCTGCATCTTCCAATGTACCATGGGATGCATCAAATCCAAGGATGCCTTTCCGGGTTCAAACGCCATCCTGGTTGAAGGGCGCAGGGAAGGTAACGAGGGATGCACTGGGGAGAAATCATCGCTGATAGCAGTGATGGTGGACGAGAAGGGGCCATCGAGCACCATAGTGCTGGACTATGCGCACCGCCTCTCCCACGAGATTCTCGATCAGGCGGTGAAGCAGTGGGCAGTGAGGGAGAGCAAATACAGCGACATTCCCTTCATCGAGAGCGACGTGCCCTGAGCCTTCGCGCACAGTGCTGTGCTGTCTGCTGAGCAGTTCCATCCGGTACGAGTGCAAATGAAGTAAAATCAGCCCTGACTTGAGCATAGTGCCACTAGCTGAAGGCGTTTGCAAGGAAAGGCTGGAAAAAAATGCCTTTTAATCTATATTGCTAAGAAATTACTTGGATTACACTAAAATCTGTTAATCGAGTGTTGTTTGTTATCAGCCGTAAATTGAGTGTAGTCTGTCTTCATGTTGAGTGTGATCTGAAATAAGTCTTAAAAAAAAGAGGAGGAAAATAATGCAGCTGCCTTGCAACTGAACAAGCACTGCCACCGAGGCCCCAGAGATGCTTAAGAACAAAGCCCGGGTTATTTTTATGTACTGCACAAAAAACCGCACGGCCTGTTGGTAGGTGAAAGTAAGGACTGTATGCTTGGCAAATCTGTCTGTGTTCTGCTGAAGTGAAACCAGGTTCTTCTATGTAGCAAAGGTAACTGCTGTCCTAAGTTTTACTTTTGATTCTTTGACCAGAATAAGCCTGTAAGCCACAAAATAACGAAGGTGACAAGAAGCATTTTATGAAACCAAATAGTATTCAGGGAACCATATGGATTATGATACTTCTCAACTTCCATTCTGAATAGAACCAGTGAGAAACATTACAATATTGATAAACAGTGCATTATAATTAAGGTAACAGATGCTCTGGCTTCTGTACATGCATGAAGTCTATTCTCTAGAATCCCGCAGCAAGACAGTTTCACATCTGATCACTGTGTTCAAACCAAAGCTGTTTACTTTTTTTGTTGTTGTTGTTGTTACAATGCTGGGGTTTTGTTTTGCTTTGTTTGTTTGTATTGTTTGTTGTGTTTTGTTTTGTTTTGTTGTGGGTTTTTGGTGTAGCGATGTTTTAGGAGCATTCATTTCATGGGATGATGGTGGCATTGCACTGAAATTTCACTCCAGTGTGACGCCCTGGGGACAGGATGAGTTCCTTCAGCTCCTGCAGCCTCATCACGTGCCCAGTGATAAAACCATTCGATGATGCAAATACAAACTACAGGAACCTCGAGCCTGAGCAGAGCACTGAGCTAGTGAATAAGCCTTAGGCCCAACGCTAAAGGGCTACCACATTCTTGAGCGATTTTATGGAGCTTGAGTCCTCACGCTGCGCCCTGCTTCTCCAGGACTTGAAGCCTGACCTACTGCACTCCTAACTGGGGTTTCGTGTACTGAGGAGGAGGTAAATTAGTCATTTAAACCTCCAGTGTTGCTGACATTTTATACAAAGCACATGCCTCGTAAGAAGCTTGCTTTTTTTTAGCACCTGTTTGCTCCTTTTTCTGTTACAGCCAATTTCACAGACGTCGATTTTTCCTAGATCAAAGTGCTTTCCATTTTATGTTGTCATTTTATAAGAAAAAAATGCTTTCCATACTGGCAAAAACTGTTACTATTTTTAAAAGGTACACATAGTTCTAGTAACTGGTACAAAGTATGATTTTCAGGCAATGGTAAGCGAGCAGAAAGAGGTCTGTTTCAATGGTTATTTTTAGCTTATTCTCACACATGACCTGAGAGGGAATGCGGCTCTTTTCCAAACTTTGTGACACAAACTTAATTACTTGAAATTCATTTAGTGAGGAAGTGGTTGTAGCAGGAGTAAGTGGCAAAAAATACTTTGTAACACAGCACAAGACTGCCATTAATTCACACTGACCAGACTAGACCCTGCTCGTGATGCTGTTCTCAGGCTTTTGCTGAAAAAGGGAAAGAATCTGCTTATGTTGTGAAGTCGTCTTCTTTGAAGTCGTATGTGAAGTGGCCGAGGGCAGTATGGCTCATTGAAATTCTCCTGCTAGCAGCGGTGTTCCTTTAAGCTCTAAAGCATGTAAAATGTTGAATTGTAACTTATGTTTGCCATATCTAAAAAAGCTCCAAGCTAGATGCAAGAGCAAATTAAAAAGCAAAAACAAAACAGAGATTCGATCAGTATGTGTTAATTTGATGCCGCTTAAACAGAGTATTAATGTTCTTATCTAGCTAAAAGAAAGCTTTATTACAAAGAAGCTAACCTTTCTGCAACATTAGTGTTAACTCAAGAGCTAATGCTGCTGAAGTCAGTAATTAAAGAAAAAATAAAAGGCCCCAACTCCCTAGAGGCTGCTTGGCAGCTAGGTGGATATAGATGAGCATCAGGAAAATTTACTCACCTAAATGCACTCACAAGATTTAGGCACGATCTGCCTTGCCCTGTGCACAGGTGCCCCAGTGGCTGCCACGGGGAGCTGGATGCTGCAGCGCCCGGAGCCCTTGCTTTGGGGGTAGCCGTAGCAGGCAGCACTTCTCTGCAGCTCCTCTGCTGCAAGGCTGCGGCTGCAGGGCCCAACAGCAGGCAGAAACAGAAGGTGAAGTAGCCCACAGGTAAGCTGGAGCATCCATGCTGATAAATACTCAACGTGTCCCCAGAGGAGGAGTTACCTTCTTTGTGTCCTGAAGCACGTGTGACCGTGAGCTTCCACAAAGCTCCTCTTCCCTCACGGGTGCTTGGAGACTGCAGCAGCTCCAGCAGGGCCCGGAGTGCCCCAGTCCTGCTGGCTGGTGCTCACAGCACCTGGAGAACAAAGCAGCTTACAGGAAACAGGGGGGCAGCTTCTCACCAGGAAAAGAAATCTGCATGAAACTGTCCTTAGTAAATAATGCCATTAGCCCCAGCAAAAATAAATAACTAGATCCGTTCAATGCTACAGCTGGGAGAGCCTGAAGGAGATTTATTCCTGGAAATCTGTGGTATACTTAGAAGATGCAATAGTGATACACAGTAATAATGAAAATAAAGGTTTCTATACCCAAATAAAATTCCATCTATCTACTTATCATTAGATTACTCTCTGGTCTTGTAAAGCCACTTTCTGTGCTAAGTTGCCACCGATTCTTCGATTTGATTTTGTGTATTAAAGGCATTCCAGTATGGGACTGGCATACTTGGAAAAAACCACGTACTTCTATTTAGGAGTTAAAATACATTTGCTTTCTGTTTTCTCCATGGAGCACAAGCATAGTCTGCGTGGGTACTACGTGACTGACTCGGTATCCTAATAATGGTTTAAAACGCGTTAACTGCAGCACAACTTTGTAAAATTGACATTTCTGTAGTACAGCACTCCCAAATAAAACATACTGCACTATATTTTTACAATATCTTTTGTGGAAAATATTTTCTTGTGGACCAAATAAAATTAAAGTGACCATTCTGCTTGTAGGACTTTTATTTGATAAAAATGCACAGATTGGACAGGGTTTTGTTCCCATGAGCTTGGGATAATTCCCCTTCACAAAAATTCTGGAAGCAAATGAACATGCAAGTCGATGTTTATTCATTCAGCAGTATGCTTTTGCTGAAGCATTTTAGGTCCTTTCCAAGCACAGAAGGCACGATCTGTGTGATCCTGGGGATTGCTCTGTTTCCTGTTATTTAGAGTAGCTGGTGATTGCCGGTTTTGTACAAGAATATTGGAATGAACCAATTGTGTTTAAATAAATTAACCATAGCCATTGTTTAAGAATGTAAAATGTTAAAAAATAAAAAGAAGGGGGAGGTTTACATTCCTTACAGCACCCATGAGGTAGAAATTCAAGTCATACTTTCAGAAGTTATCCTAAAGGTTTTAACAAAGCCTCTCAACTACTTTTGAAAATAAATTGAGGGACTATCTCATAGCAAATACATACAAGGTAACATTAAATGGCAGCTGAACTTTTACCAATTTTATTTTAATCTAGTGACAGTGCCAAGTGCCATTTCTTTTCTTGATTTTGCTCACCTCAATCTAGAAGGTCACCCTGATGCTTGAATTCCCTGAAGTTTGTTTCCAGGCAGCAGCTTCTGGGCAGGAAGGAGCCCAAATCCAGCGCTAAACCATTACTGTTGGAATCAAAACCTGCCCAATGTCGAGAACTCCACCGTGGCTCTGTCTTTTTTAATTCCCCACTGCTGATACCTGGCTGTGTTGAACCAAAGTCTTCTTCCTTTAATGTCAGTGGTTCATCTTTCCTAGGTCTTCAGAGCCAAAACTGTGTATCTGTGACCTGTCTATTACTAGAAACAAGCTGCAAGAGATACTGACTTGATTAGCCACAAAAAAAAAGCGTGCAGCCTTAACACTGAACAAAGATCTGTAGCTGTGTTGCATACATAATAGAATTATTTTTTTTTAATCCAAAAAAGATCATAATTGTATCAAGGGGCTCTGGTTATGTCATAACTGTCAGTGTTGTTAGCATCACACCCCAGCAACCTTTAGTGAACACACAGTGAGGGTTTTTTTGCTGACAGTTTAGATGTTGATGCCCACAAGCACACTTGCTAGGCTATGTTGTATTAAAGACCTACAGGACTTGTGTAGCAGCAGATGCTTTGTTTTCCACCACTCTGCATCATCAGTTCCTACTGCTTTTCACCAGTTTTCCACCCAGCAGACAGGGGCACTTCCAGTTGAGGATGTTTATGGGTATAAATGGAAGTGAACCCAGACTGGTTGATCCAGCTCAGCTCCAGCCGCCTGCAGAATGAGGGCTGAGCTCGAATTTGCAGCAGCAGCAAATGTTCCCCCTGGCACTCAGACAAGTTCTGAGACAGCTACTGCTTTGCCTGTGAGACCAGGACAGGCTCTAGCAACGCTCAAAATCATAAAAAACCTCATTATGCAGTTCAATCAATGGCATTAAAAAATAAAATAAAACAGTTTGACAAGCAAACAGAAACGTGCTCTAGCCTCTGGCAATATTATGGCGTTGGAAACAATGTCTGTGTCACGTGGCAAGACTGAATCCCGACCAAATGTTAAATCAATAGAACAATTTCTTGCTCTCAGACTTATGCTATGTCAGTCTGTAAGCGTATTTTAGTTTTGCTCTATAGAGAAGAACCTGAGGCACAATCCTGGTTAACAGCTCCCTGGCAGAGCCAAGAACACCGAGGTCTCCTTACTCCTTGCTTATTAGGTCATCCCTTCCCCACGCTGTCTCCCTGCACGGTTCCTCCTAACAGCTGATGCAAAAAAAAATAAAATGTTAATCACTGTCTAACAGCAGTAAGAAGAGCAATTTGCCTTGAAGTCATTTTTCCCCTTATTAATAAGAAAGATGATTATTTTGTCGTTACAGTAGCTTAAGAGAAGAGAATGTACCTGATCACAAAAAAAGCAGACTTACAAATCTCCAGCTAGCTAGAAGGCTTGTCAAGCTTCACCACACTGCTATTCATTTTCATATCACAAAATTAAGCACTTGTGTAAGATGTCAATGGGCTCGATCATTACAACTCGAGATCATTGTTTCCCAGAGGCTTAAAACAATTGTCCACAAATTCATCGCTGACTTCTTCTAAAGCAGCTGGCTTCCATCTGGGGGATTGGTCTTTGTCAATCAGCACTGTCAGGTGGGCATAAAAACACAGAAATGGCTTGTGAGTGCTTGCTAATTAAGATGGCTTCAGATTGCATTGAGGTAGGCAACTACAGTGAATACATGGGGGGAGAAAAATGGGTCTGCTCCAGAGAGGACAGGAGTTGTAGCGTGTGGGCTTCTGCTCTCATCACCTGGGCACAGCCCTGGGGGCTGCCGGGTGGCAGGAGGAATGCTGGATGGCTCCGGAAGAACCCAGCCCTGGTAAAGGTTTCTGGCCCTTTCCAAACCTTCAAAAGGCTTTTTTTGGTACCCAGGCTTTTAATGACTAGCCCTGAAGTTAGTGCTTTCTGCCAGACCTGCTACCCTCAGCTGTCTTCTGTTCTTTCACGTGGAACTGGTAACAGCATGCACGATGCTCCTTTTGGACAAGGGCTATTTATTACAGCTCTGTGCAAAACCTGACCCTTCGTAGGGAACAGCAGAGGGCCTTAAATTCCTAGGGCTAATTTAAACACATTACATAAACGAATCATTGAAATAATTAATGAGGAAGCAGCTCAGCAGAGTATCTTTGGGACAATCAGGAGTATTTACTTGTAAATACTGACAGCTGCTGCAGACCTGTGGATTTAATCGTGAAGATTTGTATCATCTCAGTAGCCATACTTTACACCGTGTCCTGGGAAGGGCACAACTGAAAATAAAAATCACCAGTGAATGACCTTAATGTAAAAGGTTACTGAGACAATACGAATTCTCAGAAAGCATTCCTGGTATCACAGGAACGTTGAAGGCAGCAAGATGAACAGCTGCACTAGCAAACAATAGCAAGACAGAAAAGTTGATTTGTGTGTAAAAAAGAACAATGTGAACAGAATTTGAGCAGGTCCTTCAGGGCTTCTTTCTGGCATCAGGACAACCCATAATGGTACTATTCAAAATCTGAGCTCATTTAGAAATATTTTTATAATTTCAAAAAGAACAGCTAGAGTACCTGTGGCTCCCTAGGATGCATGAGCCACCCAAATCTTCTTCTCAACACACGTTGCCCTCAGATGGGTGCTATCAGCTTCTGCTATGGAGAGGCACCTGTGTCCTAGCAGACCTCCTGACCAACACAGCCCACCCCACGTAAGGGACGACGGGCAGGAAGCACCTTGTGAGGTTCTCTGCTGACAAAGAAGTCAGGATAGGATGGTGCTAGAAGCTCACAGATAGGTGAGTTTCACAGAGACTAGCTATTTGGAAGAATAACGCCTGATTTTTGGTATGTTGTGTCCTTCTAAGCAGGCTTTGTTCCTGGTAACTGAACTAGAAACGCTGAGGATAAGAAGTGTGCAGAGGAGTTAGATTTGAAGTTCAGTAGAAGAAATGTTCACCTAAAGATTTTGTCTTATCAAAAGACATATTATGGCAGCTTATGACCTTAAAAAAAGACTTTAAAATGTCTGAAGTAAAATGTGTTTTTTTTTCTCTATCAAACAATGCTTGGTGAATGCTTGGAAAACAAGTACCATTGAAATGACAATTGCTATATTTCTATGACAATTACTAATATTTCTATAGCTGAAGACATACAAACATCTCTTTTTTTTACCTTGTAAGAGAAAAGAGTAGTTCTGAATTGGAGCCCTGAATCCATTTATCCTGAAGTATAGGACTAAGGCCTCCTTAGGTACAAATAAACACCAACTTTGCATAGAAATGCACCATATAGATATATAAGAATCTAGGTGGGTAATTCCTTAAAGCAATGTTATATTAAAAAGTGACTTTATAACTGAGTAATTTGACTGGGTAAGCTCTTTTATACTTTTTTTTGTATGTGGTGATATGAAGCTACTGACTGGTTAGGGTCAAAATATATAATCATCCCAATCAACTATGTTTATTCCATTAGAATAGTACTTATCTAATTATTTTCTTCAACTTTAGTTGATGCTCACAGTCTCACAGAATCACAACTGCTACCTACAGAAGACAGTGCTGACTGGAGACACTTTAAACTAGTGGGAGGGGAGTCCATCTGCATGCTACTACAGCTTCATCTCAGTCTGAAATGCAGTAGTGGTTGCTGATAATTCTTTATTATGTGGCAGCACTGGGCGATCAAGTTGAACTGTCTGTTTGGATCAGCCAGTCTGACCCTGGTGGTCAAACTGGATGATCATAATGGCATCTCCCGTGAAATGTTTAGTTTTATCAAAATTCGAGTATTTATTTCCTAACAGTATTGCTAAAACATTCCCTTACTGCAATAATTTGTACGTATTTTGTGTTTCTCCAGCTTGATCTCAGTACAAGAATGGAACAGAAATTCTGGATACTTCTAAGGTAGGCTGAGGAAAGTTCATTATGATAAAAGTTACTGAGCACAGGCATTGTGTTATGGGTTTGTTCTCGTAGTGTTCTTTGTTTAAAAAAAAATGGTAGAAGTGTCTTTAATAGACTTTAATTTGTGTTGTATTGCTTATATTAATTCGGCACAATCAAAACACTGATGTTTCTAAGCACCTGGAATGCTGCTGGTTGCAATGCAATCTGTGTACCTACTGCCTGCAGGGGGCTTGGTGTCCAGGATGAGCTGGCATCTGCCTGCTGCTAGCACAGCAGGAGAGAGGGCAGAAGCAATGCACCACTGCGGCACGCAGAAATGTAGCTCTGCAAGATCAGCAGCATGGAGAAGGCCCTTACAATTCCATTTCAAGTGCAAATTCCTGCACAAATAGGAGTATAGCTCAAGAGATTTTTGTCCCTGCTGACTGCTGAGGCTGTAGTCTACCTGGATGTGTTCGAGCCCTGGCTCTAAAAATGCCCCCCCTGCTCTTGCAGTACGTGTTCAAAGCTCTTGGCAGTTACCTAGAGCAGCATGTTTCTTAAATCAGGTAATTTTCTATGAATCAAGGGGAAATGGACACTTAAGTGTTCAGAGACCACAGTTACCATTATATGGGAAGATCCAATGCCCCGTGGATCAATTATGATCTGAGCATTTAATGGTTATGGGGTTTTGACTTTCCTTTACTAGCTCCTACCACAAGAATCATAAATGGGGAAGCCTGCTTGCAGCAGGTTTTCAATCTGGCTGAAAGAAAATGGCTCAAAGAGAAACAAAACTTTGACCTCAGATCAGAGTAGGTTTAAAAACCTTAGTATTAGCTTTTAATACATATGCTAGGAAAGTATTTTGTTTAAAATTATGGTTTGAAGTAGATAAAAGCTGTTATTAAAACCTGACCTGTGGCCATGCTGCTGAAAGACGATATTCAAAAATTAATATCTGATAATTGTATTTTAACTTTACTTTGTGGTAGAAAGGGTCAACAGCTGGCTCTTAAATGCTTGGAATTTAAAAAAAAAAAAAAAAAGCAACAGATTTTAAGAAGACAAACCTGACAACAAGATTTGTGCAATATGCACAGAGCAGAAGGGTTTCAAGTGCTTGTTCTAAGCAGCCTCCTCAGTGCAGATGGATCTTTGTTTTCCTTTCCCTTTCTTGACATAGTTAAGCCTTTGCTACGTCATCCTACTTAAAAGAGAAGATACCCAACTGCTGTTCTTGCAGCCGCTTTCTTTACAAGCAGTTTGTGTGATTTACTGGCCACACTGTGTGAAGTCATTTGCTTTTGTCCTCTGCCTGGTCCCCAGGTGGTTCAGTGACACTGTGCATTACAAATTAGGAGGTGGTTTGATGCTCATCTGACTCCCAGCCTTTGAGGTTTGCCACTTCCCAAATAACATATTTCAGCAGTTGTGAAAGCTTTTATCTGGTGCTTTAGAATATTCCCAGCATATATTTTCTCTTTAAGATAACTTTGTCCCCAGTACCAGCACAATAAAAACCATGCACTTTTCAACGTGTGTGGTAAACTCCTTGAAGGAGTGTCTAAGAAGTGCTGAAGTCTAATAAAAGTAAGAAGCTTTTTCCATGAGGTATAAACAGCCTGTGAATCTCTCATCTCTAGGCCATCTTTAATACAGTATTACTAACAGTAAATACTCAAACCAACATCCACTACTCGAGTGGATTTTAAGCTACTTTATAAAGACAGATATAAAGAGTAAGGAGGAGGTGATAATACATACTTGAGTATGTAATTGTGTGTGAATTAAAAGACAAGTTCCCCTTCCTCCCATCTCCAAACTGTTATTCATCCAAGTGTCTCATACTGTGAGCTCCTTGGAAAAGAAAATGTCTCTGTTTTTCTTTCACCTTGCGCTGAACAGTACATAAATAGTTAGTGCAGTTTCTAACAGATGTGCCATTGGCTTTGACAAACTGCATTGTGAATCAGCAGCAGAGTCAAGGACAGAATCTACGTCTGTCCCCTAGATGAACTTGCTCAAGTGCTGCTCTACCTTCACCTCCACCTGTCTGCTACCAATGCCATAAAATGTATGTAAACAGCAAGTTTACATACATCGTTTTATTATAGTGAGACATCTTCATAGGGAGGGATTTTTGGCACAGGAAAAAGTAGTCTCTGTTCTACCAGTTTTCTATGCAAGTACTTGTTCTTGACTTGGAGTCTTGTTGTTTTTTTAAACCATCTTAAAGCTGGCTGAGCCAGCTGTGTGGCAGTGCTACATCTTGGCACGCAAACGATCAGCATAGCTACTCGGTACTGGCAGCATTAAACACATTTTGAACTTTCCAGTGAACCACTGAAACCTTTACAGTGCTGTGTTACCAGGTACATAACAATCTCTGGGAGGGTGACACTACACAAAGGAAACGATGTGGCTGTTACGGTCTGAAGCACAGGATGCTTTTTGGCAGATAAAAGCTGAAACTACAGCTAACTGAGAAATGTCCTCTGGGCTGTTGCTGCACGCAGTTTTATCTCCAGAGAAATAACACAACAGTTGCATGAAGTTGCATGTTATTGAGTAACCTTTCTGGTGTGTTCTTACCTGCTCGAACCCCTTCATAGAAGTCATGGCCTCTCTGAAAGACAAAGAAATAAGCTATTACAAATAAATTCTATTTATCCCAGAAAGGCAAGTACTCAGGATCCTGTTAAATCCCACTTGCATTGTTCTCACCTAGTCCTACTTTCTCATCCTTTATTAAAGAGTTGCATATGTTCTTGCTTAAATTCAGACACAACTCTTAAAATCAGCCTCTCGCTCTGCAGTTAATCAGCCAACTTTCATGCAGTGCAAGCCCTCTCTGCATTACATCTCATGGATTTTCCTAAGGAGTTCTCTATGATGAGGGGTAAGGTGTATAGAACAGGATGGGAAATTCTTCAGAGAGAGGCCCCAACTTCATGAGTTTTGTACGTATTTTGCATACTTGGAACACTTTGCTGTTAAAAAGAATCCTGTTAAAAAGAATCCAGTTATTTTTGATAAAGGCTAAACTTAAATCCTTAAAGGTGCTTCACTAGTAATGGAGTAGCAATTGTGTTTTCAGGAAAAAATATGGTAAAGATGCTATTCAGGCTCTACAATGTATCAGAATGAGATACACCACATTCTCACATGCATTTTTATTTAAAGCATTTACTTTAACTATAATCGTTTAAAATAAGATCTTGATAGATCTGATTAAATAAAATGTGACAAAACTAGTAAGGATTCCACTGGGAAGCTGAGATTTGTTCAGATAATCTAGTTAGCAACTCTGTTTTGCTGCAAGGATCACTTTATCACGTGTGTTCTCAGCCCTTACTACAGACAGTACTAAAGTCTCTTGCTTTCTTCAACAAATTTACCACTATCCTAAAGGCAGTGATATACAAGTGGTCCTATCTTACTGACAGGAACTGAGAACTACACAATTTATATGGAAGACTTTTACAAGAACTCCAGATTCTTAAAATTTATGGTCCAAATACAAAACTTTCTGAACTGTAACATTATCGTGGTTTTCTTGACAACAGCCTTGTACCATTCTCATCTGACAATTACTAATATTGTCTACATTGAGTTGCATAAGAAGACGTGGAACTGGAAAAAAAGAAAGTCACAGCCTGACAAACGCACAAAGAAGATACTGAACATAAAAACCTATGAACTGTGAGCCCTGGACATAACCTATGTAAAATGGCCCCTGACAGACTTGCCCCAACCCTGGCTGGAAAGAGGCAGAGGGTGCTCTTACCATGCACGCTTGGCTCAGCCTGTACTCCATCGTGAGCACGTCCTGCAGGCTCATGGAAGCTCCTTCTCTGAGCTGTCTGAGAGTCATCTTTAAGGATGTAGGTGACATCTTATTAATGGTCTGGAGAAGACATTAACAATTATTCTTGTTCTCTTCAATTTAGAAGCATTTGTAAATCCTTGTTCTACATTTCCAGGTTAGTAAGCGATGGCACTCTTTTCCCTGAGCTCATCCCTGGTCCTCCCACCGTGTTGTCACACCAAATAAATTCACCTGCATAAACTCTTACCAACAAGATCCCTGGGGAGTGGGCCATCACTTGTGGAAAGCCTACAACTCTTACGGTCACATCATTTCTGCCCAAATTACTGCTAGCTAGAGAATCTAATGCAGCTCGAAAGCCAGTTCCTAAAAGATTCTTTTGAATTGCTCCTAGGTATTACTGGTATTGTAGCAATTGGATTTTATCTGATAGAATAGAATAGCAAGGTAATACCAGCAAGATTAGCCACGAACTTGAAGTATTTGCTTTACAATCATCTGCAAAGACCAGACAATGTAACAAGAAGAAAATCCTAGGGATTTAAAAGATATCTGGGATCTTGTCTGGGATCAACAGATAGTGCAGTAATTCAGACCTACATAGCTTTATGATAGGAAGCCTGGAGGTCTTGCCTTCCCTCTTTTGGTAGAGCTACAGGCTATAAATATTGTGCCACAGACAGGGTCTGTTTAAGGCATACAAACAAATGCTGTAAATCTGGCTCTCATCACTATCCTTCAATTAACAGCGTGCCAGTAAACAGCAGGGGGAGGTGGGGAGGACAAAAACCTAGTTAAGAAAACAGAACTGAGCTTTAAAGCTTTCAGGTTTGTGGAGGAAAGAAGTTAAATCTCATAGTTGCTGATCGTTGTTTTATTACTCTCAACAAGGCTCCTTTCCCCGTAAACCCAACTAGAAGCTCTTTATTATTCACAGTACAATAGGCATTTCCTGTTAATTAGGACATTTGTACCACTCTACTGAGAAGTGGCAGATGGTAAGATTTGCCTCTTTATATGATTTTCAGGGCAGATATCAGACTCCTCACCCAAAGACTGAAATGGCAGGTTTCCAGTCATCAACATTAACATTTTTTCTGGCTCCCAATTACTCTTCATCCCTCTCCAGACACCAGCTGATACAGCAGTGACCCATTTTGCCCAGTTAAGCTGGAAAACAGGCAATTGCTGTACAAGCAGGAGGCTGTGCAGTCGTGACTTAAGCACTGGTTCTGTCATCCCACTTGATGCACGCTGACCATTTCACTTGAGAGAGACTTTAGCTTAGAAAGAACCAGTGCTTCCCTTACTGGGAACAATTCTTCCCTTACTAGGTTCTTTGACCCTGGAAGTGGATCATTTCTCCTTTGCTTTGCTTCACGTTCTGTTATCTGGATTGGAAAATCTTTGCTCGGACCAGGCTAAATGGTGTGCACGGTGCAACTCAATGGTTCCCTAGGTGAAATGGTAATGCTTTCTGGGCAAAGAAAGCTCTGAAAAGGCGAAGATCTGCAAACAGCACTTAACTCGTCTTGTGCACCCAGCAGCTGCCTTGTCTTGGCATATCAATGAGGCTAAAGGAGGCACTGCTATAAATCAAGCTGAAGGAAGAGGAACAAGGGAAGAAAATGGGTAGGTGTGATGCAGAAAAATGAGTCACCAGTGCATCTATAAATAAATCCTCTGTACAAAGAGGAGGAGGAGATTGCTACTTGGGAACAAGCCTGAGAAGGAGATAGGATAGGCTGAAGTGGGAAGGGGAGTACTAAAATGCAAAGGATTAGCTGGGCTCAAAATGCAATGTGAATCCTTACAATTCAGTTTGAAAATGGCTTAACAAATTTACTTTCTCCTTATTCATGCAGTTCATTTTAGTATCAAATAGATGAAAGCCTATCTAGGAAGTAAAAATGCAGAAGTAGTGTAGACTGGACAGAACAGGACACCTAGGAGAGTATGCAATGTATTACATTAGGGCCTGTTCAATAAGCTTAGGGATGTGTGTCATAATTATACAGCAAGGAAAGAAAAAAAGAATGAATATTCCTGCAACTAAATCATTTATAGTCTCTGCATTTAACGTTTGCACGTGCTGTTGTTCCTCTGCCTGGAGATGAAACCTTGGTTTCACAAAGCGACAGGAAACTATCATCTGCAGAAATCCTAGAGGTACTGTGATACCACTGATAAGGAAAACGACTCGTTTCACACAGGTCATCAGACTGCTATCAGGGATAACATCTGATAACCTCAGACTGCTGTGGTTTTGCCAGGTGATCCCTGCTGAGTGATGTAGCCAGCCGCTGCTTTGTAGGTGCTATAAAATGCTCAGCCACCAGGGTGCAAGCTTCCATTCATCCTCCAGCCACAATTAAAGTTAATTACCATTCTGCTTCCCCAGTAAAACAAAACCTCCAGTTTAACTGGCAAACATTTTGTCGTGAAACTATATTTGTACTTGATTTTTTTCTTTTTTTTTTTTTTAACATAAATCCATTTTCCTTCTGTGAAATATTCACAAAATGAAAAGAAGTCAGTTAAGGATTTAGTCCTACAAGCATTTCTTGCTTAGTACAGAACATGTGCTGTTAGAAACTTGTCTGAGATTAACATACATGTTCACACTAACAAGCCTTGTACTTGCTAGAAAATAATTTCTAACAAATTTCTGCAAAGACAGAAGCAGTTCATTAACACAGTCTGATTTCTTGTGCAGAACAAAAAATACACATTTGTTCAGGAATAACCAATCATAGGAAAGAAAGTCTGCTATAAAGTCCTATTAAATACACAAAATAAAAATCGAAGCAACAAAAGATCCATATTTTGGTTGAGGAATTTAAAAAATATACAATTGTAATTTTTAAGTAGATGATAAATTTAAGAACTAAATTAAAACTATGACAGAAATGTACTCTGGGAATCATAGGGAACAACATTTATTTTTTTAATAGTGAAGATGTGAGTTATGAGGCTGAAGATGGAGCAAGCAAGTGTTGCAGGTTTGGGTACTTGGAGCAAATTTGGTAAAACAAGGAGTCCAGTTAACCAATTTCAGTAACAAAGTATTTCCAGAATCCTTGCATCTGTTGTAGTAAAACTGAATTTCAAATAGACAAACCACCCTTTAGAGACTACATGCTCGTTTAGAACATCTCCCCCAGGTCTGATGATATTTTGAAATTTTAAGATTGTATGAAATTATCTTAGGAAAAGCTGTATGTAAATAATCCTCGATTGTTTTCAACCTCCATCAAAACTACTCAAAACGGTATCCCTGTAAAATCATACTAAACTTTGTAACGGCTGGAAATAAAATAGTAGGTTGTAACTCAATGCTATAAAGAGCCCTCAAAAGTAACTGATATTAGCATGCTATCAAACTGTCTCACAGACCTTAATATAACTACTTTTCTCTGCTATCTATAACACGGGGGAAAAAGTAAGGATCTGAATCATACAGCCTATATATAACCTGGGGAGAAAAATCATGATGTTAGTCTGTGGTAGAGTTCAGGTTTCCAAACCCACAAAATGATTATTCTGAGACTAGCTTGTTTGACTGCTTTAATTAATGGAACTTGAATACCAGTGGAAAAACATTATTAGCCTCCTCTTTCATTCAATTTTGCTTTCGTAGTACGTGTTGCAAAGTACTAGGCGTTCTAGTTGGCATGAAGATGATTTGAAAATTTTCCTCTCTGTTTGAACTGTTTGAAAGTTCCAGAGACAAGATAATAAATCTTTAATTAAAAAGTATAAATAAAATTGTATGTGTTACCCTGAGTGATTATTCAATAATATTATGAAACTTACTGTTCCATCCTGAAAGTAGCAGGAACGGGACACCTAACATCAGTGATGCTACGTCACAGTTACATGCCTTCTGCTTGGTGGCAGTCTGTAGATGATAGTTCTGTTTTGTTTTACTACAAGAGCAGGATTCTCTAAGATGTTTAAGCAAAGCTTTTGCTGGAGAAATGCTTGTGTTCCATCAAATTTTAAGTACCATTTGAATAATAATTAAAAAGACAAACTTTTATGATGCACCTGAATACAGGTACTTCAAAGGAGAAAGGGAAAATATAAAGACTTCAGATAAATGAGCTGCTTCTTGCTTTTGTGGCTGGAGTATGCAGGAAACTTGTAGCATTACTGTACACTTTTAGAGTAGGGACTACAACTAACACTCAGATGCATCCAAGAAGATAATAAATACTTTGATAAATTGCTTGCTATTTACCCAAATTAGATATCTGAAATGGAAGAAAACAAACAACATTGTTCTGTCACTGTTTTATTCCAACCTCTGCCAATAAAATGAGGAGCTATAAAAGGAACCTTTGTCACCATCAACCCCTGACTGTGGGGAGGAAAAAGGGAAAGTGCAACTATTTTTTTACCAGATTGCACTAGACAATGTATAATGACATTTATGTTTTGTGGTTTCACAGAGGAATATTCTTCTCGGGGTAGAAATGCTTGCAATTCCATGTGACTGCATGAGAACTTGAGGATTGCATCTGCTGGTGTTATGTAGTTTTGTTTACATTAATAAGGTGATTATAGACTGTGCCAAGATGAGAAAGTACAAAATCAGGCTTAATCTCTAACAAAAATAACACAAAGGCATTACCTCTAGCTGCTTAATGGCGAAAGGAGAACCATCTTCCTTTAATTTTTTAACAATTTCTTCCATGCTATTTGCTGAAAAAAGACTAAAAGAAAAAGAAAAGAAAAACATTAACTGCTTTGGTGCTTCAGCCTTCATCTTCCCTATGAAATGCCAGTAACTGCGAAATTAGAAACAGAGCTTAACCAGGTGATTTGGCTTTTCTTAGCAATGTGTTCCCTGTCATTCAATTTTAAGTAACTCAGTTGACAGGCATCTCTTCCTTTACAGATCTCTAGCGTTTTAATACACCTCACGTTAGTTCTGATATTTATCTAAAAACTCTAATTACTACCATCAGTCCTTTTTTTTATATATTTTTGTAATGCATCACGTTTTCAACTATCAGCTCTGCTCCACTGGTTTGGTGCCAACACCATTCATCTTCAACACCTTTCAGCATCCCTGCGCATGGCAGGGCGTTGGAACTAGATAACCTTTAAGGTCCCTTCCAACCCATGTCCTTCTATGATTTCATGATCTCCACTAAATCCATTTAGTTACTGTTGTCCTTCCTCAAGATTTTTAGCTTCTTATTGCTCTCCTTCCTTTCTGCTTTCTTTTCTGATACAAAGAAGTCCCAAACAGTCATAGGAATGACCTTGTTCCAATGAACGTGAATGTGTTTTGTAATGTGTCCTTTCCAGATGAAAAATTACTCATTACTCATAGAAAACCCTTTCCAGCTTTCTATAAAAAATATTTCTTCTCATGTGCCATAGGGCAGTTTAAAAGAATGGTATACCAATCAGGCAACAATGCTCAAAATTATTTAATATACTGAAGACTGAAATATTTAATGAGCTTCACAAGGCACCCCGAAAACAAATGTTTAAGTGGCTAACTTTAACGGCATCTCCATCACCTTACCTTTGGAACACTAATATACTGCTACTGGATTTAACTTGATGTTTTCTGTCCAAAGGAATAAAAAAGAAGAAAGATCCACAAATACCTGTTAATCTTCTCCATATGTTCATCAAGTACAAACTCCTTTTCTTGATCAATTTTGCTCTATTTAAAAAGCAAATGCATATTTTACTTGGTTATTTTAGACTGTCTGAAAAGCCTACCAGTACTGAAAAATATCAGCAAGTTATTACAGAAATAACATATATGAAAACATAGATTTTTTTACAAAAATTTAGACAACTAAAAGGTTGGAAGGACCTGACGGATTTATGTAGAAAGACTGTCAAATGTTTTAGATCTTCTGGCACTAAGGGGCTTGGGACACATGCAGATGTTTCAACAGTGGCAGCTGAAGCTGAGACAGAGGCTCCCTGTCAATTCAGCTCCGATCACTAAAAATATGCAGCCTCCTTTTCCATAAAATGTCATCCTGTAAAGCAGCATACTGCAACATATAATTAATTCTATTTCATAGCTTTCTATTTATCGAAGTATTTAGTGCCACTATTTGTCATTAACTTATCCAATGTATTTTTTAATTAATCTTTATTTAAGAACTTAGTAATCCTAGAGCAGAAATAGCAGGAGTACCATTGCTCATTTTAAATCAACTGCTCATTTTAAACAACTGGGCAATAATACTCAGGGTGACTGACTTCAGTGAACCCCAGTTTGGCTCCAGAAGTTCCCTTTCTTCTGAAATAAAATTACAACACACATCAATACAGCTGAAATAGCAGCTGAATAAATCCACTGTAAAGCCCAAACCTTTTATTTTCATGCCCGTTGTTATGTGGGGCTAACACAAATGCTAAATACGTGTTATCAATACAGTTAAATTCACCTCCAAAATCTACGGGTTTGTCCACTGGGAGAACAGCACCTTTTTCCCCAGGAAAATGTTGCTTTGAAGATCCCATATGCTTTCATTAGAACCTATCTGCACTCTGCTAATATGGACCCTGTAGATAAGTGCCGTGCTTATTTATAGTCTTTTAATTATCTCAAGGTTACAAACTTACAAAATATTTGAGAAATTAATGGAACAATGTTAGCCCTTAAATTCAGACTTTGAACCTTGCCTACAGATGGTATGCATCACAGTAATGCTAAAATTCACATCAAATACATGAAGTTAGCATAATTCTTCAGGTCAGTAAAGAAAAAGGGGATGGAAAGATAACATCCACTTCAAAGTGAGCAGCCTAGTATTGAATAACTGGCACTGTAACTTCTGCAGCCTCTGGAGCACAATTATGGTTCTTCTCCCTTTCATTTGTATTTGTCAGAAACCCTGGATTTCAGGATAACTCCCTAGATTGCAGTTGCCATCACGTACCACTCTCATTCTGCTATTGGCTATGTATTTTGCCTTCTGTAAAGCATGCTAGAAATCAGAGAGAAACAGGGAAAATTAAACAGCAGTGTATTTTCTGCATCACTATGCTACCAGCTGGGAACCTGTATAGAACAAACAGAAGGAAAGAAGTTGCTGACCACTACAGGAATGAAAAGTAAAGCAAGACTTTTAAATTTCAACTTTGAGCACTGTAGGCATTAGCGCTACAAAGTACTATTTTAGAGAGTGGAAGGAGTATGAAAACTCATTATTTTATAACCATAAAGCAAATAATCAGCAACAGGAAAAAATGATTTGTATTTATATACACTTAACTAACATTTCTGCTTGATTTCAGTAATGAAACACATTACCTTCACGTGGTAAGAGTTCAGTAAGTCTGCAATATTTTCTTTTGAAGCAGATTTCAATGCTATCAGGTCTTTCTCTAAGTCAGGTAGCTATAGAAAATAAGATTTTATTAAAAGTAAGTAAAGCAAAATGTCCTTATTGAATCATTACTGCTATTACAATAGTACTTTATAGTATAAATGCATTTATGTATACACGCCTTAACCATACACATAGAGCTAAAAAAAAAACACCACACACACAAAATGTTTTGACCAGGTGTTGAAGAAGTACCAAGTAAGCAAAACAAGGAGCTGGAGTTCACTTTGCCACAGTGTCGAACCATCTGGATTTGAGCGTGTCTGCAGTGATCAGCAAAAACCTGCTTCCTGAGCAGACCCCTAGTGCATTGCTGCAGCTGAAGCAGGTAAAGCCAGACTTTCTGAGGGGAAAGAGCAGGGGCCTGGCAACCATGCTGTGCTCAAAATAGTATCTGTCAGCCTGCATATCCAACCCGTTCCAATGGTGCAGTCACAATGACAGTCATGAATCTTTTCATAGTGAAAGAGCCAGTTGCAGTTTCTCCTTCACTTATATCCACCTAAAGTACAGGAACGTTATGACTCTGATTTTATTGAATATGCTAGTTTTTACATTTTCTCACAGCTGCTGGAAGAAGCAAATAGGCTATCTATTAAGGAGACTGATAAAGAACACACTGGTTGGCTGTTACCTAAATTAGAGCATTGTGGTTGTATAAATAACCACTCATTTCAGACACTGTTGTCTAAATTGTACCCAGAAAGCAAACTACAGAATTGGTGAAGGCAGTAAAAGAGGATGAAGGCAGGGCATACCATTTTTCAAGCAACTTCAATTATGCTCAGCAAATCATGCCCTTAAACAGCAGCATCGTGACGACAGCAACATTTGCTGCCTCTTGCAAGCAAAGCTGTCACTTTGAAAAGTGTTGCAAGGACTGCCTAAGAGTACCTGACAGCTCCTGTTCCCAGGGCAGGGCCAGCTAAGACAACTGCACCTCTGTGTACATTCAAGTTGCTAAATGTATGCTGGTGGGCTCAACCACTCCAACTTGTCATTGCAGTGCCAGGATGAGCCCGTGCTGGCTCTGGTTAGCAGTTTACCTTTTCTGATTCTACAAAATGTGTAGCGATGCCCGCTTTCAGCACATCTCGTCCTTTCAGCCGAAATCCTGTTAGTGCGAGGTAATAGCCAATCTTTCCTGAAAGTCTTGGCAAGAAATATCCTCCACCGACATCAGGAAAAAGGCCTGTAATAAGCAAAACAAACAAAAAAATAAAGCGAGGAGAGAACTTGTCCCAGCCATGCATGTAACTCGGTTATTTCTGCTTGTCTCACTTCCATCTCCCTGACCTGGGTACGGCTTTCTTGCCCCAGTTTCTCCTTGACTTGGTTTGGCATTTCTCTGTCATCTAAACCCTTGCTAAAAGCAAACTCTTGAGCACCTTCCAAATTGTACTCTTTCCACTGGCACGTAATTTACAAACATATACCAGACTACAGTCTTCATTCTATTTGCCTACAAACTGAGAAATTCTTAGATGCCCAAAGAATCGAGTGTTCTCCCAGCAAACAACGGGCAGAGAATTATAGAATGATTTGTGCAAACTTGAACTGGAAGCTGCTTTTTCTCTGAAATCTTCCACTATGATAAAAATCTTACACTGCTGAAGGACCTCTTGCATAGGACCTCTTGCTGAAGGACCTCCTGAAAGCAGAGGCACAATATGCTGTCCTAATACCTCATCCTTTGACAGGACTATGACTAACCTGCAATTTAAAAGGTTATAAAACTTTCCAGTGTAGTGACTGTCTTACGTTTTTTTACTCCACAGAATACGGTTATTTAAAAAAAAAAAAAAGTGAATAAAATATAAAACTTTTAATAAAAGATATAATTGAAAAATATATAGCTTTTACCAAAGCCTATGGAAAAACATATTTTTTTTTCCACAGGAAAGCTTAAATATTTTAAGTTGTCACTTTGTCAGTATCTACCTTTTTCTGTTACATAATCACCCACAAAATAATTTCAAACACCTTTTGTAACTTCTAGTATACTTAAACTTAGGAAAACTTAAGCTTAGCTGTCTCAGTGTCAGAAATCAAATGGAAAGAAGCTGAGTGTACAGTTACTACTTGGAAGTAATCACCAGTGGAGGATTCATGAGACTGCAAGTCCTCTGAATAAATTAATTGTGGGGTATTTTTGAGTAGATTAAAAACAAGATAAATGAAATAGAAAGCATATTACAAATAAGAAACTCAGAAACCAGTTGCCAAAGCAAAGACTAACAGGCAAGATTAAGATGTACAGGAGGAGTTTAAATGGTGTTCTGATAGAAAATGGCAATTTTTCACTCTAACGTATTTGCTTTCATTCAAGAAGGAGTCACTCGTATATATTATATAAGGACTTATTGCAAATATTTTGTGATGTGGGCAGTTAGTGGGTCCTGAATATTCCTCTCCCTCGGATGGAATCAAGGGAAGGCTTCTTTAAATCATCACTTCATTGTCTTCTCTCAGTAATCTCTAAAAGTTCATTGCTGCTTTATGTTCTCACTCATCTCTCGACCTCTCCTCTGGCTCCCTTTTGGTCCTCCCTAAGTTCTGCAGCCTCTAATACATCACCAGTTGTTTTCAGGAGCCACTTCCTATCAGTTAGTCCCGCTGATATGGGTGTTGCCCATATTTATTGCCTGATTTATTCTCCATCCTACAGGCTACTGAGACATACAGCTCTTCTAAAATGTTCCATGTCTTGGTGGCACCCTTCAAAAGCCCTACGCTGTATTATCTCATCACTTCATCCCATCTCATCACTTACCTTCTTTTTCATTTGCAGTCACTTTATGAATAGTCTACTCCACATTTTACCTTCTCAGTTTGAGCCATCAGATCTATAATGTTGGTGCCAAGACTGCCATTTAGTTTTATATTTCTATTCATCTGTCTCTTCTTGGATTTCCTACTACTGCAAAAGAATTCCTTCATTTCAAAATGGAAGTTCTCTTACAAATCTCCTCCAAAGCAAAAAGGCAATTATATTATTCTTCCTATCCATCAGGACTGCAACAACCTTCTCCTCTTTGCTGTAATTAAAATACTGGTGCTGAACTATTATTCTTCCTGTGGTCACATTAGTTTCCCTTAGATTCCAGAGGAAAAGCAATCTTCTTGTTGGGATTTATAGGGCTCTTTCACACGGCCATACACAGCAAAAATAATTCTAAATAAACTAGAATGAAATTAAGTTGCTTCAGAAGTCAATAAAACTAAACTGAATGAAGATCTCTTTAGTTAGAACAGAATTTACAAGCAGCGTTAGTGAAGGTGTAGTTAATCCACTTTAATTTACTCAGCTGCTTAAGAGTATAGACCACTATAGCTTCTACTGTGTCCTACGTGAGGTTCTTGTCTTCCTTTCCTCTTAAATTTTTACTCCTCTTGTCCCTGTTCTAAGTATTTCTCTTAATGCTCTCAATACTGCTTCTCAGATCTTTCTGCTTACTATTCAGTTTCTCAACGTATTCCATATACTTGATTTTTTTTTCCTTTTGGTGTTTTTAACTAATTATTTTTCAAATGCCTACTAAAATGAGAGAATGAATCTCTGCTGAGCTGACCAGGCTAAAAGCCTGTGCCTGTAACACTGACTTGCAGCCTGAGCCTCGAGATACATCCAACGTGCTTCACTGTAATCCCAACTGTTGAATTGTCTATGTGGTTGCCAAGCAAAAGATAAAGGTACCACAGTATTTCCACCTTTTCTTGCAGAGGCAGCTGGAGATTTATTAGTAAATTACTTATAGAAAGCTAAAAGCTTAAACGGATATACAAGAAAGTGTCTGCTATTACTCTAACAGCACCTTAAAGCCCATTTCTTACAATACGCTTTCATCTTTTGTTCTTCCCACCAGGGAAGGTATTTCCCCATCCTCCTACATCTCAACTGCATTCCCATGTTTCATCTTATCTGTATCAGTTTGAAACTCCTACAGTCTAGAACTTTCATTTGCAAAATGGCGTATAAATGTCACCTTTTGTTTATGGTGCTAAGAGCATTAAGCAATGGTGTGAAAATGTAGCAGATGAATGAACGCCGCTTTCATTTCACAAAGGCATAATGCCTTCTGAAATATATAGGGAAAAATTCAATTAATACAATCTCCAGGCAGCTAGACATGTTAAACATACACCACAGAGATCAAAACAGCTAAGCCTTTAAATCCAAGCAGATTTCAGTGGTTTGACTTCTAATTGATCCTAAAAGGGTTTTAATTACTTTCTTTCCTAAGCAAGTCCTAAGCTGTTACTTTACACGTCTTTACAGTCTATTTGTGCTTAGTAAGTCCCTGTAAACACACAAAATGTATGTAAAGTGCATAATCTTTGTTAGCATAAGGCTACCTGTATCTTACCTTTGAAGAAGAAAAGGTGTCTTCATTAGAATAATTTTATATCCTTAAGAACTACTGTTAGTTTAAAAAAAAAATCTTCGTTTCCTTCAAATAGTTTCCCTGTAGAACTGTTCATTAGCCTCAGGAGTTTACTGAATTAGTATAGCTTTAATACTTGAACTACCTAAGTTTACTACGTTTTCCTTCAGCATAGGAAGATATTGGACACTATAAAAATCTAATCACTAGCAAAACATGTATCGAATTTAGCTGTGATGACATTATTATATTTATTTTCTTTTCCAAATGGATTCCTCATTTTTTCCTGTAATTTCTTAGCTTTATCATTACATAACTGGAAATTCTTTTATTGAGGAAGTAATGGCCAATACTCCTTACTACTTATTCTTTGAAGTGAAACTAAGACTGAACTTAAAAGCCCCATATCTGGTGCTATTTAAACTATTTAAGCACCAGTTAAGGTTCTCTATTCTGAACAAATGTGTTCAACGGGGCCATATTTTACAGACCAGCCATATTCTTCTATTTGAGGACATAAAGATAAGAACATTTGCAATCATCCTTCGGTTCCTTACCTCTGAATGATATAAAAACTTAGGAACTCTGTAGCACAGAAATGCAGGATAGGTAATAGGTTTTAAGCAATCTTCGTAAACATTGTTGGTAAGCAGGAGGTGGGAATTAGAGAGAAAGCATTAAGGGAATCCCGAAGTCAGACAGTAATACATTCTGTGTGGTTACCAGTTGGTACCAGTATTGTCTTCAGGGGAAACGTGAATGATTTCATAAGAAGGTTCACTGTAATCTGACTTTTCTTGAGGCACACCACGCTCTTTATGTAGCTCAGGGTCATAAAATTTTCTATTGTACATCTCAGAGTTGACATAGGTTGTAGGATCAAACATCAGAAAATGCAAGGTACATATTGCTATTAAAAAACAAAATAAAAAAGTGATCTTGTGCACAATCTGTACACAACTATAATTGATCTACATTACTAATCCACTTAAAAAGCTAGGATTTCTCATGAACATAGCAGATCATGTAGTTTGTCTCCACACTGAGTTCGGAATCTAAAATGGTTAGCACATTTGCACTGGGATCTTCTGACTTTATCTGCTTATGCCTGTAGCAAAGACAGTTCCTCACATGTACTTCCATTTTTAAAGCATCATATCCTGATAGTTTTTGTGTCAGTCTAGCCTGTTTTAAGAATCTCAGTGATCAACCTTCCATAATTCAGAGACGAGTTTTTATTCAGTTAATAGAAAATACTTTCAATATACGGTCATTTCCAGATCCTTTTTAAAGCTCTTAAATTACTGCTGTCACTTTCAGTCAACTGTATCTCATCCCATTTACATGAGCAGTGAAACTTGAAACATATTAACATATGATAATCTGTTAAAATCTACTTACCTATTGCTGTTTCTGGCATTGCAAAAAGAGTCTTTTCTGTAGCAACTCGGAAATGTCCATGGACTGAAAGGCCAACTCCCTGCATATGGAGCACAAACAAAGGAAATGGTTATAAAATTACCAATGAAAATAATTATAACTGTAATCCTATGCAACACACTTCCTGTTTTGCTCTACAATTAAATAATGTTACATTTACCATGCACATCTCAACAAAATATTAAATGGCCTTTTATGGTTCCAAGACCTGTAAAACATTTTTTACCTTTATGATTTGATTGAAATAGCTTTCCATGCTTTAAAAGATTGCTGACTCATACGGAGATTAACTACAAATAGCCCATGAGTGACAGCAATAACAGAAACAAGTGACCCCATTTTTCTCCATTAGTCTACTAAGCAAGTTGATATTCTTTTGCTAATGTTATATTATCTATAACTTTTGCACATACTTCAACAAACTATCATCAGCAACAACAAAAAAGCCAATACTTTTAGAATATAGATGAATTGCATGAAGCTGTAATTATGCTTTTAAAAGAAATATTAGCTATTATTATTATGTGATAATTACCAACTTTATCAATACAGAAATATTTCAAGCAGGAAAAGCCTCCAGCATTATTCATTAAAATTCAAAGTCTGTGGTTAGAAACTCTGTCTTCCTTAACCCTGTAGTTCTCCAAGTCAGAAATAAGATGCACACTGCGAAGTACCTAGCCTTCTTCTCTAGCAGACTTTTCTGATGAGGTATTTTCTTCAAACCTGCAAAGCTCCTGGTTTTGCCTATCATATTTTCTGATTTAGGCACTGAGCGGCAGCAAGGCCCAAGAAAAGGATGTATCTCCCTTTCACCAAAAAAAAAAAATACATCAGAGAAGCGTTCAATAGGCAAAATGACATATTTAAAGAGAAATGGTTATCTGACAAAATTACTACTTTTAGGTTACTTCCATCGATAATACTGGGATTACTCGGCACAGCCACAACAAATGGGTAAAGGATCCTCACTTCTTAAAGCTTATCTACAGAATACATACCAACACAAATCCGTAGATCCTAGCTAGACAATCCTAGCTAGACAATCCTAGACAAGTATCCTCTATTGAATATTTCACCAGTGTCATTATGCAAATATTTTCTCTCACTTTGTTTCAGCTTACTTCCTTTCCTCACTGTTATCCTCCTATCCAACCAATTTTTGTATTAAAATTAGTATCACTGTTTAAAAGAAGTCAAAGTATAATGAAGATGTAATCGATTTTTAATTAACATTTCTACTTGTTTAGATATTAGAAAAATGGCAACTAAGGTTATTAGTCTTCACAAACAACTTCACTGTATTTCAGACTTCCCAACAAAAACAGTGGCATTAGTTGAGTGATAGCTGCTTGGACCAACATTGCATGTTCAATAGGCTTTTAAGAAGACAGCAGAACATCTTTTCATTTCACTTATCTACAGGGATCTTTGGGTGAGTTTTACGTTAAAATTTTAAAAAGTTATCTCAAGCTAATAAAAATTACATCAATTTCTTCACACCATTCTTATGCATTCTTTCCTGGCCCCTTGTACGTTTCTGCCCAGCAAGAAATTAATTGTCACCACTTATTCCATTAGGGTGATGCATGATTAAATCTGAAAACATCTTAAAGGTTTTTTCTGTAAAATGAGTATCTGCCATTCTTAGTTTTTAATATAAATTTATGAAGCTTTTAAGATTCCAGTCTAATTTTCTGAGAAATGGACACTTAACATTTCTGGCTATTGTATTTGATTTTGTATGCAGAGCCTAAGCCAAATCCATACACACAGGGAACTGCTGTTTCACGGAGGCAAATGGATTTTGAGCAAAACCTGAATCTTATTTGCATATGGTACAATCTACATCTCATTCCTTATCTGTCCCTCAGCTCTTTCACTTGACTGATTGTAGATCTATCTCATCTGAGCAGCAGCAAAGGCAGCAGCCCTGTATGTAAAGCTTCATTTATTCATTAAAAAGCTCTAGAATTCTTAAAGGAAGTAGAAATGTGACTTTGGCACTTTCAACATTTTATTGTATCACACCAGACTATTTTCATTGCACTGAGCAAAATCTTTCCTATAGCAAGAGAAAGCACAATACCTGTGCTATTTTTATGTATGTTCAACAGTAATGGCAACTTCTTTACAAAGATAAATTGAAATAAAATAAAGCAAATCCATTTTGCTTTTTCTAAACTGCTTTGTTGTTGTTGTTGTTGTTTTTCTAATGCTGTATCTAAGAATACAAATACCATTTATCATAAAACATTTTCCTGGCTTATTTTCTAGGTAATCAGTAGTTTGTATAAGAAAAAAAATTCAAATTTTCAATTTGAGTTCTAAGTAGTAAAGAATGGAGTGTGAACTTCACAAAGACTGCTTCTCTTCCAAGTTTGTTCTTTTTATAGTGATAAAAATAACTGTAGAGTTTTCCTCATAAAAAGTTGAAAGGAGTAATTTTCTTTTGAAAGAATTAAATCAGATTTCACTTTCTCAAGTGCCTTAGCCATAATTGGATTTGTTTTCTAGATAGCCTTCAAGTTTTATGGTATAGATAAGAGCTTAATTTAGATACACATTTAAAAGACTAAAATTGTATTTTCTTCTTAGTCGTCGTAAAGAAAATGGCACAAATACATCTTTATTTATTTGAAGATCATTTTGAAATGATCCTACATTAAGATAAAACTAGGAGAGAAAAATGAGTTAACACTCTGAGGGTACAAACACCAGGAATATATTAAACTGCTGATCATATGCTTTCATGTGTTTATTTGCAGTTTCCCAAATGGTTATTTTAATAACTTTCACTGTATGTGTTTAACCTTCTCCATCTAATCCAGAGGAAAGATGTGTATTAGTTTAGAAGTATCCTGTATAAAGAACAAACTCTTCCAATCAGAAGTCTAAATGCATTCCTCCTCCATTTCTGGATATATATATATACATATATGTATATATGTGTATATGTGTATATGTGTATATATATATTTTTATTTTTTTTTTAAGGATGTACATATATGTTAATTTTAAACCAGAACCTTACATATCTAGAGTCCCATCTAGGAGGTCCTTCACACTATTAAAATATCTAAAGTAAGGCTATGTTCACTTAACCTTAAATGGCCCCAGCATTTACACATAGAAGCCTAAATGCTATTATGTCTTCATTAAAATGTGCTATACACTGCACTGTGAGAGACCTCCCTTTCATGATCTTCAAATATGTACTAAAGGTAATTTCTTGCTCCAGACTTTCCCAAGATACGTTTAGCCACTACAGTAAAAGACAATTCAAGTTTTCATAAGTACATAAACACGAAAAGAAGGACAAGGGAGAATATCCATCCTTTATGGAGTGTGGGGGGAAACACTGACAAGAGATGAGGAAAAGTCTGAGGTATTTAATGCCTCCCTTGCCTCAGTTTTTATTGGTAAAATTAATTTATTGGTAAAACTAATTCACCTCAGAGTACCCAGCCTGCTGAGCTGGAAGACAGAGGCAGGGAGCAGGACGAAGCCCTTATAATCAGGGGGAAATTGTTAGCAACCAGTTGAATGCCCACAGATCCATGGGACCAGTGGGATCCACCCAAGGGTGCTGAAGGAGCTGGTGGAAGTGCTTGCCGTGTTGCTTTCAATAATTTACCAGCAGTTTTGGCTAACCGGGGAGGTCCCAGCTCACTGGAGGTTCGCAAATGTGACACCCACCTACAGGAAGGGCAGGAAGGAGGATCTGGGGAACTACAGGCCTGTCAGCCTGACTTCGGTGCTAACAAAGGTCATAAAGCAGACTATCCTGGCATGGACAGGACAGCCAGGTGATCAGACCCAGTCAGCATGGGTTTAAGAAAGGCAGGCCCTGCCCAGGGCTCGGGAAGTGGTGGCCCCTCTCTACCTGGCACTGAGTCCACACCTCAAGTACTGTGTCCAGGTTTGGGCCCCTCACCACAAGAAGTCCACTGAGTTGCTCGAGAGAGCAATGAAGCTGGTGAAAGGAGTAGAAAATGACACAAAAATGGAGCAGCTGAGGGAAGTGGGGCTGTTTAGTCTGGAGAAGAGGAGGCAGAGGCCTCATCACCTGCCTGAAAGGAGGCTGCAGCGAGGTGGCTGTCGGTTCCCTTTATCAGGTGCCAAGGGATAGGACAAGAGGAAATGGCCTCAAGTTGCACCAGGGGAAGTTTAGACTGGACATCAGGAAGAATTTCTTCATGAGAAATGTGCAATAAAGGCATTGGAACAGGATGCCTAGGGTGGCATGTCTATTTAAGAGATGTGTGGCTGTGGTGCTTAGGGACATGGTTTAATGGTGGGCTTGGAAGTGTTGGGTGGATGGTTTGAGTTAATGATCTTAGAGGTCTTTTCCAGCTTAAATGATTCTATTATTCTGTTTCTCTGGTGAATCAGCGTTGGTTTTTAATCCAGATCATTTATCTTAACACTGGCAAGAACCTTTTTTTCTTTTTTCTTTTTTTTTTTTTTTTCTACTGGCAACTGCATGTTTTATTTTTGTAAAAATGAGACCAGAAGTTAAGGTGCTTAGTAACAACCAACCAATTTAAACAATCTTTCTGTAAGGTTTTTTATATCAGTAAATCAAAACCATATAATAGCAGAAATGGTGGTCTGAAAACGCATTACTACAGACAGATAGGCGATAATAATGTGATCGCAATTTATAAATTTACTACTGTATAGGTATTAAAATACTGATCTTAATAAATGTAGTGTGTTACAACTTTACTATTAGAGCACACCTTATGAAGGTATGAAATATTGTTTGCAGATCTCTTAGTTCTGTTCAAATTCATCAACAAGCTTCTGAAGAAGCCAGCAGAGTATCTCAATTTTACTTCCCATACACATGATTTCAAACTCAGTGCAGTATGTCAAATGTCATTATGTAACAGTGTATGGAAAAATTTATCATTAGTTCCATGTTTTTCATGAGGAATACAGAACCTTACTAAAGTACTTTTCTGATGAAAAACAAAGTATAGACTACTGATATAAACTGAGCAATGGAATACAGCTACTATAAATCTCAGAAGT